TATCATACACTATTTTTTCTACCAACGCACTAAAAGTGATTACTTTTAGCACTCAGTACAGGCTACCTTTTTTGACGTCACGATTATGTAAACAAACCTGTCAATAGGGAACTTGCAATTAAAAAAAACTTACAAAAGCAGTCCTTTACAATATTCTTCATCCATTGCGACAATTTTTGACAAAAAGCAAACTTTAACACACTTGAATAACACAAAAATAGCACTGCGTCAGCAAGAGTTTGTTAACTGCGTATTTGTTGTTTACAAAATTTTAACGTCTCAAGCGCTGTCATATTGAGATTTTGTATTTTCGCGCCAAAGTTTTTGATTTGAATTTCAATAATTTTTTTTTCGTACAACGTATAAATTAAAATGGAAAAAAAGAAAAGTATGTAATAACTGATCACTGGAAGTATCTAAAAAAAAATAATTTGAGAAATTTCCCTATTCCCTATTGTGTCACACACTGTTACACTGTTACAAGGTTATTTTCTCGCGTGACTCTAAGCAGGAAATTTGTTGAAACAATACCCTACTTGTGTCTGTGTGCAAGTAGGACGCAAATCGGGAATAGTGGGAAATATTGCGTGACTTACAGAAGGATTATAGTGTAAAAAAGTTCCCAAATTTAAACTGCTAGTGAGGGTATGACGCATTTAGGGAATAATTTATATCAATTTTTTTTGAGTATTTAAACTAGTATTGTGTGAAACAAAGTAGGATTTTCAACCTTACATTGACACAAGATGTGTGCAATTGCGATAGAAGTACCTAAACAAAATGATCGAACATGTCTTCTAATAAACAAATCAGAAATTTCAAGACAACAACGTCTTTTCATAGAAAAATGAAAAACCTAAACAAGAGGGAAAATGTTGTGCCAAAGAGTGATATTGCTAATGAACCCGTGAAATCAAAATTTCCAAAAGCAATAATTGTAATCTGCCAATAAAGTAGATCTACGAAAGATACTTATAAAAAATGTGGTTTCTTCTGTGATACCAGACAATAAGGAAGATCTAGACAAAAAAAAAAAACGGAACATCAGGAGCTCAAGATATTCGAATTATTCCGAATTGAGCAGTTTTAATCAGTCTAATTTTAGGGAACAGCGGTTCTCACAATGCCAGCATTGAGTCCACTAACACAAAGAAGGATGTGTTACGAAAGTGCGTTCAACAAATGCTCACGCCTTTTAGCTCCGCACATGTAGGACACCATGCAGGAATTGCGTGTAACATATAAGTTACCGGGTTAACACAACTGCGACATAGTAACAAACACCGCCTATAGGTAAAAACAGGGAATCTTGTGTGCAGGCGACATATTGGAAAAAGAAATAGGAAAGTTATTTTAGTTTAAAATCTATGAAAACTTGCTTTTGATTCGAAAAAACTCATTAGTTTATCAACATTAAGGAAACTTATTGCAAACAGAATTGTTTTAAAAACGCAACATTGAAAAAATATATTTTAAGGTTAATAAAAGGGCTTCTTTTAATGTAATTTTTCTATAGATAAAAGCCTTTTCAAGGGCGCATTGGTAATTTTGTTAGTAAAATGAAAAACTGCAGGAAAAATTTTGCTTCGCAATGAAAACTTGATTTCCTGAGTCGAAAATAATCTATCATCTATGCTATTATATTATATATAAAATAACTATGCCTGTTACACTGTAAGCCATTTCATGGTTCATTGCGTACCTGAAAAGAAAATTGAATGACACAGTTGATAGACCATATGCCTGAATTGTTTCACAAATGTGCGGTGTCATCGTGCTCCACTTTCCACGCGTGGCCTACACATGTCAGTCGACGTTTCGAAACATTGTGTGCAACTTGACACAAGAAAGTGTCACAATTTCGGAAGCGTTACCAAAACTCAACCACAAAATGCTCACTGGGTTGTAGTAACGTTTGTAGAAAAAAGTGTTTTTTGTTGTTTTCGCCATTTAGGCCAAAACAAAATATCATGTGTTATATATCGTCGAACTCGCAATTTTTTTCTCAAACTACTGAACCAATAAGATACAGGGTGTTCCATTTGAAAAATCTTTGTTTTTTCAAATATCTCAGAAGATAAAGCCCCCATATTTTTTCTAAGTACGCCACTGGATTCTACGTAAAAAAAAGACGTATTTTTCTTTTTTGCACTTTTTCTATATCTCCGTCGGGTAAGAAGTTATAGAGATTATAAAAAACAGCTGATTTTGAAAAACACCCTGTACCTCGCAAACCAATATTGTCGGCCAAGATCTGACTACACCATCAAATGACACACTAAAAAAGAGGACGGGAAGCGTATATCAGTTTCTCAGTATCTTCGGCCATTTTGGCTGTACCCTATCAAACTATCGAAAATCAACCACCCTGTACAGTTTTGGCTAAATTTTTAGAATTCATGGTCAGAAACAAACACTGAATGTCAGAAATGAGAATTGTTGCATGCTTTCAGTTTTTTTCGAATGGGATACCCTATATTTGATCCTATATTCTTGAAGAGCACAACGTCCGGATTCCAAAAATATATAGTCTGTCTATATGTGGTTAAACCGTCTCCCACATATTTGGCTCTAAAAATTTTCATAATACTTCAAAGAAACCAAGTATGTATCTTAAATTTTAGCTGCAGCTTTCCTAAAAGAATAATTATTTTTACTTGCTAACATTATGGACGAATTTTTACTTGTGTACCTACAGGGTTTTGCCAAATCAATCACCCAGTGGATGTGTAGTAGTAGTTTGAATTTCGCAATTTAATAAAGGTAGGTATTTAATTTGTTTATTTTGTAATACCGATCATGCAGTAGATCACCTGAAAAGTATATGATTTGGGGACACACCCTGTACACAAGTAAAAATTCGTCCAAAATGTTAGCAAGTAAAAATAATTATTCTTTTAGGACCTGTTGATCGCAGAAAATATCAAGACCTTGAGGAAACAATAATTGTTTTATAGGTTTAAAAATTATGACGTAATTTTCTGAAAAAATGGATGACAAAAAAACCTCAAAATTCTTTTTTGGAATTACATTGCAGAAGTGATATAAAGCCTTCAAAGTAAGTCACAATTTATTTTTCGTCCTTGACACGTCCTTTTTCTGTAGTAAATGGTAAAATTTAAGTTTAAAGTATCCTTGCACACCCTGTGTGTTTTGTGTAAAGCTTTTTTTTTATTGATAACCTATTTTACTTATTTAAAATACTCCTCAGCGTGTTTGAATCTAACATTCAAAAACGCGCGTGTTTTAAACTTACCATGACAACATCAACAACCCAAGAAAGGTTAAAGTGTAAATGTCAATGTCAATGTTTTAATTATTGATTTGTCAGGAGTACTTGTAGATAACGTCAAATAAAATATAACAAGTGTTAAGTTTTATTTAAATAATCAACAATCCTGATTTATGATTTGAACGTATACCAATAAAAAAAAATAGTGTAAAGTATTCGTGGATAACTGGTGTTTAAAACACTGGTCTTTAAAACACTTGCTCTATCGCGCGTGTTTTAAAGACCTTAATATCCACTTATACTTTAATTAGAAAATTTTGGATTAATTTTCTTTGCTTTTCCATCCATAGACGCGTTTCGACCTATATCAGGTCTCATCAGTATGGCTAGGAAAAGCAAAGAAAACCAATCCAATTTTTGTGCATCTATGCAAAATAGAAGTAGTAAGACGGTCAAAATTTGATCGTGGCGCATTCTAAGACAAGGATTCAACACTAAACAGCAATTTTTGCTGTATTAGTGATGCCATCTAATTGGCCGACCAAAAATCAGTTCGTTGGGAAAACCCAAAAAAAAGGAAAAAAAGATTTCTCCTTATTATACACTGATTAGAAAATTTTGGATTAATTTTCTTTGCTTTTCCATCCATAGACGCGTTTCGACCTATATCTCATCAGTATGGCTAGGAAAAGCAAAGAAAACCAATCCAATTTTTGTGCATCTATGCAAAATAGAAGTAGTAAGACGGTCGAAATGCGTCTATGGATGGAAAAGCAAAGAAAATTAATCCAAAATTTTCTAATCAGTGTATAATAAGGAGAAATCTTTTTTTCCTTTGTTTTGGGTTTTCCTAACGAACTGATTTTTGGTCGGCCAATTAGATGGCATCACTAATACAGCAAAAATTGCTGTTTAGTGTTGAATCCTTGTCTTAGATGGCGCCACGATCAAATTTCGACCGTCTTACTACTTATACTTTAATATACTATTTCATGTTTGTTAGTTTTTATTGTGATTATAACAAGTAAATTTAAGCATTAACTTGAAGGATCCGCTAGTTCAAACTTGTTAACGATGGGTTTGAAGCTCTTGGTGTTATTATAACACTAAAGTTGCATTATTTAATAAACAAAAAAAGATATAAGAAAAAATTCAAAAACATTTCGAGGGATGAACATAATAATCATTCGGGTATGCCTAGAAAAAATAAATGAAAATATTTGTAGAAATGGGGTGGCAACAAAAATTTTGTATTTTTACCGCACTTCCTATATCATCCTGTATAAAAAAAAAACACTCAAATTCTATATTTTTTTGTGTAAAGCAGATGATTAACAAGGAATCGATTTGAAAAATGGTGAAAACGGCATCTATTTTTCCGTTAATTTATTAAGCAGTTATCGCTTCTCAAAAATTGGTGAAATTTATGCTTGGAACGAACCTATTATTGAGTAGTTTAGATCGATCTGGTTTCCGGTGGGACACCCTGTATTAGGTCTCATAATAAACTAAAAGTTTCTGAGTTTTTGACAAGCATTGGTAGGAATGGTAATGAGAACTATAATCAGGATGAAAAGACCTCTCAAATAAGCTATTACTTCATCAGTTACGCTTGAAGATGTTTCATTCCACCCTCCCAAAATCTTCCTCACTTTATAGGTATATTTGTTTATAAACAGAAGGGCTCTGTATAATATAATCTTCCAATAAATATCAAAAGGTTACTCTGGATAATTTTAAGTTGGTGTGTGAGCCTATAATAACTTACGAATACATGACGGTTTGTGACTGTCCCATCGAAATCCATCACAGTAAACTGTGATTGGCCCATTTAATTCATATCCTTGTTTGCAATAAAAATTTAGAACAGCTCCATTGTGAGTTGGTATGACTATACCATTTGTTGGTGCTGTTTCAGCCTTCGCACAACTACCCCCTAAAAAAATAAGTATTTTTTTTGAATTATGTTTCACTTTAATATAAAATTTACTTACGAACACATTTTGGTATATTGACATCCCAGGTCCCGTTAATACAAAAAGAAGTCTTTTCTCCAGCTAATTGATATCCAGGATTACACAGATACTTGATGACTCTGCCCCTTTGCCTGGATCTGATGCGGCCATATTTAAGTGTCGGTGTTTTGCAAGCTATAAATATCACATAATCTAATATATAAAAATCAATGTTTGTTTGTTTGTTTGTTCGTTGTTTAAGGACTCGGAAACCACTGAACCGATCTCCTTGAAATTTATGCCACGTAATCTCTATATAAATGGGAGTGTTATAGGCTACTTTTTATTCCGGAAAAATGCACAATTCCTGTGGGATAAATCTGAAGCGTAAAGCTCGAGTTAGTTTAAAACAATTGTTTTCGGAGAGGCGTAGCAACGCACGTAGGGTACAGCTAGTTATATACATATAAATATAATAAACCCTTTGATTGTAATATTTTCACTCACTTCACACGGACTTCTTTTCTAGCGAGTACATTTGACAGTACCTACACGATTTTTAACCAAGTGTACCTAAGCCTCTATAAGATTATTCATCACGACTTTGTAAGGTTGCTATTACTAAAGAATATTGTTTGTTTCACGTACCTCACGTAAATTAGGTTTTTTGGAACTCATTTGCTATTTCGGACTCAGATACCGCCGCGTTCAGAAACAGCAAATATTCGTCATAAAAAATCTTATTTAGGGTAGGTACTTGTTAGAAAAAAAGCTATTTCAGAACCAAAATTTATCTATTTTCTCGAATCTGTTCGTTTCGCAGACTATTTTGTCTGTCTGATACAAGTACATATTTCAAATAATTTAGGTAAAACTTTTTATAACTCACCTAAAAATCTGTCAGATAATGAACTATCTACGAAAATCAAAATTAAACAAACACAAAGGAATCTCATTTTGCAAGGCACAAAATTTAAAAAAGTAATAACAGATAATAACAGACAATAAAATTATAATTTCAAACTGTGCATATTGAATACTATCTTCGAATAGCGGATACCCAAAAGGAAGTTGACCATAGAGTGTGTCAATTATTATTTATTGTTATCTTGAACTTAGGTTTGACATTTTTTAGAGAGCAACCGCAGTGACACCCTGTAAATAAAATTTTTCGTTACTTTTCTGGCTTTATCATTTCAGTGTCGAATGCGGAGGGGCGGGCTCTAGGCTTATTGCTTATTCATGAATTTTTTTAATAATGTTTCTGTTATCCTAGTATGGGGATCCAAATCGCGAATAAGTGCATGCTACATTTGCCACATGGCGTCGCACATCAGATCATAGATTCATCACAATTTGAATGCCATAAACTTTGCATTTTTCTTCATCTTCAATGTCCCACCGGTTGCATCTTTGCGAAGGATTGTGATTTTTTGTTAATATTTTTCCGCCTTAACTTCAAAAAAATGCAAATCCTTCGCAAAGATGCAACTGCGGAGGACATTGAAAATGATGAAGTAAAATGCATAATTTATGTATGTAACTAATTAGATTGTATTGAAAATGTGGCATGGACTTTTTCGCGATTTGGGCCCCGAAACAAATATTACCTACCAATGTTAAAATAACTTTGTCTCTATAATTATGACCCTCTCGATTGTTTACTGAAAAGTTTATCTTTATTGCAGTCATATTATAATATCTAGAAATCTAGAACGCAATGAATGCATATTTAAGTTTCAACAATGTCACGTAAAACTTTATTAATCACATGTTTTGGTTTGTGTTATTTTATCCTGGTCATGATTCAATAATTGATTTTACTTTACGAGGGATGAACAACAAAAAAGTACGTTTTCCTTTAAAGGGAGGTAGGTACCTCTATATCTACTTAAATCTCGAGACTCGACTTAAATTGAAGAATCGTAGTAATGTGATGTTTAGTTTAAATTGAAACAGTTAATAAAGGCCACATGACCACTTGTTTGTGTTTTCTTTTAACAATTCTATATTAAAGCTTCTCTCTTCAAAGCTCTGGCCAACATTTTTCCTGACATTTTGTTTGAAAACAAATTCTCACTCTATCAAAATATTTCAAGTGAGTATGGCCAAGGAGAGATTTCACTGCATCAAGTACTCCGACGACATAGTGTGGTAGTCAGAGGCAGGCATCTATAGAACATGTCTGAACATATACTCGTCAATCGAACTCGAACACCCCAATTTTTGGTCACTTTTTGAAAGGCTATAACTCAAAATCCAGCAGGCCGATTTTGTTCAAATTTCCAGGAGTCAAAGGATGCTCTAATTGCTATTGAATTTCCAGTTCTTAACAGATTTCCGGCCACCTGTTAGAAGATACAGGGTGAAACATAAGTTGACGATTTTTGTGCGAAAGTTTGGGTCCACCCCACCCCATTCTGCTGGAGGGAGGTTAAAGTAGATTTTTGGTAGGTATGCAGTTTAGAAGAGTACCTTAGTACCTCGGGAATTTTTTGAGATTTTTTGAATATTGCAGCCGACTACGATTTTATCATGAGTTATACGATTTTATGTAAAATATAGCTCTTGACGTCATTATTTCTTTTCGAAACAAACACTACAAGGTCTACAAGAGTGGCGCCTGTGAAAACACACTTAGAACATATTATACAGGGCCATACAAAAATATATAGGGTGATCTGATAAGAGTTTCCGGATGTTTTTCTCAATTCAAACGGAAAGGAAACTAGGAAACATTTAATATTTTATAGCCATAAGTAACATGATTGTTTACAATTATACGTGAAACTCACTATCCAACAAATGGCCACCACGACTTCTCTCACAGCACTCAATTTTTTTGCCACTCTTGAATTGTTTGGGAGATTGTTAACATACGCTTTGCTTTTGATGTAACCCCACAAAAAAAAAATCTAGTGGCGTTAGATCGCAAAATCTAGGCAGCCAATTGACATCCCCATTTCTTGAAAGATGTTTACCTTCAAACCGTGTTTGCAATAAGTCAATGGTTGTGTGACATGTTGCGCCGCTTACATCAAAATAAAAGCGTATGCGAACAATCTCCAAACAATTCAAGAGTTTAAAGATGTGATTCGGCGCATTATTCGTGAGATACCAGTGGAAATGTGCACAGATGTGATCGAGCATTTTGGCAAAAGAGTTGTGTGCTGTGAGAGAAGTCGCGATGGCTATTTGATGGATATTGTGTTTCACGTATCGGGTCTTCAAAAAAAAACCAATCAAAGATTGCTTTGGTTACGAAGACGTACGTCAGATTATTGTTTCTTTATTGGTCAGGATTTTTGACAAGACATTTTGACATTAAACTTCATTGACAAAATTAAAGAAAAATATTGCTAAGACATACGTTTAAAAAACCTTAGCAATCTTTGATTTTTTTGAAGACCCGATATAATTGTTAACAAAAATCTACCTAACCCTCCCTCCAGCAGAATAGGGTGAACCGAAACTTTCGTAAAGAAATCGCCAACTTATGTTTCACCCTGTATCTTTCAGCAAGCAGGTGGACGGAAATCTGTTAGCAAATGGAAATTAATTAGCAATTAGAGCAGCCTTTCACTCCTGAAAATTTAAACAAAATCGGCCTGCTAGATTTTGAGTTATGGTCTTACAAAAAGTGACCAAAAATTGGGGTATTCGAGTTCTATTGATGCGTAAAAATTCACCTGACCTACCGCTCGCACATTGAAAACCGCGATGGTATTCTGCAAACACATTGTTGTTTTTGTTCGCGCGTATGTGCGTACATGCTTTCAAACATCCACGTCCGTGTGTAACCGCGCGCCTTTATACCCAAATCCCGGTACCGTTCTTCATTCATACTTTCTCTCATTAAAATTACCAGTTCAGTCTACCCATTCCGATAAAAAAATCCCTCCCCCCCACACTCCAAACTGTCACGCCACCACCACCTAAAGCTTCTCTCACTTCCATGCATTCTCCTCTATAGCTCTCACACGTTTCTCTACATACTAGACACACTGTATATTTTTGTATGACCCTGTATAATATGTTTTAAAGTGTGTTTCCACATGTGCCATCATAATCGTAGTGTTTGTTTCGAAAGAAATAATGACGTCAATAGCTACCTATATTTTACACAAAATCGCCAACTTATGTTTCACCCTGTATCTTTAAGCAGGTGGTCGAAAATCTGTTAAGAACTGGAAATTAAATAGTAATTCGAGCATCCTTTCACTCCTGAATATCTCAACAAAATCGGCCTGCTAGATTTTGAGTTATAGCCTTTCAAAAAGGGACCAAAAATTGGGATGTTCGAGTTCGATTGACGCGTAGTAAGGTTTAGATAACTGGTGCAAGGAGGAAGGCTTGTCGGTTAATAACGCAAAAAACCGTTATTGTCCCCTTCACAAAGAAAAGAGCACTAAGTGGGCTTCAAAGTACTAATAAGCTTGACGGAGCGGAAGTCCCCTTCTCGAAAGAGGTCAAACATTACGGAGTCATTTTTGACCCAGGGTGCACACCTCAACAAAGTTGTCCGGAAGTCTAAAATCTCCTGGGGAGAGGAAAAGGCTTTGTGGAAAAAGCTGGGGACTTAACCAAAAGATGAATCTATGGTTATACAAAATGGGAATAAGACCAATTTATTGTAATGATGTAATAGTAATAAACTGTATTCAATGAACTAGGTAAATATAATATTTTATTTACAATCATACATGTAATGTTGACTTTACTGACTTTTAAAAAGTTCGAAAATGTCACTTTTTTGACTTTTACTTTCGACCTGGGCCGAAAGTAAATGAAATTTTTGAAATTTATTGTATTTTTTGACTTTTACTTTGGGCCCACGGGTCGAAAGTAAACTTTCGACCCGTGGGCCGAAAGTAAATGAAATTGTTAATTATTGTATTTTTTAGTTTTAATCCAAATGAAAATTTCAAAATTCGCATGATTGTAAATAAAATAGTATACATACCTCGGTGAAAGGTTTCATTACTGTCTCGAGATTTCAGTTAGACCTCGGCTGCGCCTCGGTCTAACTTAAATCTCTCGACAGTAATGAAACACTTTCCACCTCGGTATGTAATATGCTATTATTTGCAATCATATATGTAATCTTGTCATTACTGACTTTTTAAAAATTTGGAAGTGACACTTTACCTGTGTCACTTCCCTCTTCGATTTCCCTCACTGATTTCCCTATTCGACTTCCCTCACCGATTTCCCTCACTCTAATTTATTTACCTTTGCTGGCAACAATGAAAACAAGTCAGGTAAAAACGTCAAAGCAGCGAATGACACATTTTGGCATGTCTGTTTTATTTTTTTAATATTAAAAAAATTGATTGACTGATCATAATTATTGGTGTGCTTGCAAATAAAATAGTATACAAACCTCGGAGGGAAGTTTTCATTTCTGTCTCGAGATTATTAGTCAATCTCGACGCTTCGCGTCTTGATTGACTATATAAATCTCTCGACAGTAATGAAACACTTCCCTACTCGGTATGTAATATACTATTAAAAGTTGAAAGATAAGTTCATATATTGACAATTACAATTCTTTAATCAGATCTCTGTCACTGTCACTGGTAGACAATATCAGAAACAGGTTCACAATAATAATGTAACATGCCCTCCCTAAAGTTAAAACAATATAGTCAATAATAAACATAAACTAATCTAAATAAAATTATCCCAAACATCAAGGTACTGGTACTGGGTTTACCAGTTCTAGTGGGAGAATTCAAAAGTACATTTGGTATTGGACGTGGACGAAGATGATATCTATTTCTTCTATAAATACCACCATCCTCAGACTAGCCAACGTAACTACTGGGATTTTTGCCTTCATTAACAACTTTACCGGGGACCCACTTCCTTACAGACTGTTGAATCATTACTGGTCCTTTAGACAATGGAGCGAGTGGTTTTTTGTTCTAATTGCAACTTTTCTTTTTTAAATTTAATGCCTTTATTTTGTGCTCTGATAAAAAGTTTTTCTAATCGGTTATTATGCTCTTCTGATGTATTGCCAAATATAAGAATATCATCCATATATGCCAAAGTTCCATCCAAACCACAAACCAAATCATTTACACATGCTTGAAAAATTTCTGCTGTATTTGATAATCCATATGGTAGTCTGTTGAATTTGTGTCGACCAAAAGGTGTTATAAAAGAACATAGGTCCGAACTATCTTCATCTAATGAATGGTATCTGCCAAAAAGCACATGAAGCATCTAGCACTGAAAACCATTTGGACTGGCCAATTAAGGAAAAAATAGTATCAATGGTAGGTAGGTAGTTCAAGTCTCTGTCGTATGATATACTTGTTCAGAGGTCTTGGGTCCATACATAAACGAACTGAGCCATCTTTCTTCTCGGTTACAAGTGCATTCAACCATTTTGTTGCTTTTTCTAATTTTGTGACTATTCCGTCTTTTTCCATTTGATCAATAGCCTTCTTTACTTGTTCGTGTAATGCCAAAGGAAGTTTTCGGCATCTGGCAATGTTTGATTCATTCGTCTCTATCAACTTACCACTTGCCAGACTATAAATGACTATTTAACTTAAAGTCAGATTGACAATTCAATACATGAAAGGTGGCAAACATAATTTATCACAGGGGCTAAAGACAAAGATGGTATTCTGGATTTATCAAACTATAATAAAGCCCATGGTCACATACGTCTCATTGGTATGGTGGCCCAAAACTCAGCAAGTCTTCGCTCAGATCAAGCTAAACAAGGTACAAACTACAAAGGCTGATATGTCTAGGAATAACGGAAGCAATGTCGACCTGCCCCACCGCTGACTGCAGTCCTAGAAACGCTGCTTAACATGCTTCCACTTCACCTATGTCTGAAAAAGGAGGCAATAATCAGGGCTCACAGGCTATTTTAAACAGACAAGTTCAAGTCTGCTGATCTGAGGGGACATCTGCGCATCTTTGATAAAACTGGAGAATGCCAGCAAACCAAGCGACCACATGATGGTCAGATTGGACTTAGAGATCCCATTCGCAGTGGTAATAAACGAGCGCCAATCATGGATGAATAAAGAATTACCATAAGCAGACAATGCATCTCGGTGGTACACAGATGAATCCAAACTAAAGGGAGGAGCTGTACTGAGCATTTCCGGCCCTAACTTTAAGCTCTCTTACAATATTTCGAGCCGAACTGCTTGCAGTAAACATATGTGCACAAGAGTGTCTCTACCAAAGCCTCAAAGGAAAACACATCTTCATACTATCAGATAGCCAAGCTGCCTTAAAAGCCTTAAGGGCTTTTAAATGCACTTCAAAACTAGCCTGGGAGTGTAAACAGACCCTAAAAACACTAGCGACACACAACCAGGTAACGCTGATGTGGCTGCCTGGTCATCGAGGCATAGAAGGAAATGAAGAAGCAGCCTCGCAAAAGAAGGGGCCTCAACACCATACCATGAACCAGAGCCTTATTGCGGCTTAATGAAAAGCCACATCATGGAAGAACTCAACAAATAGGAGAAAGACCAATTGTCATCATATTGAAGGCACACTCCGGGACTAGACAGTCAAAAAGGTGTATCACCCTTTCACCAAAAAGTGCTGAGAAGCTCCTCCTAAACATGAGCAGACCGGGCATCAGAATGGTCGTAGGACTGCTCATAGGTTAATGGACAGAGCAGAAGACGATCTCCTCGAGGGGGTAACACTGTCATCAGAAGAAGGGGGCCAACTGACACCCACAAAAATAGCTTCCTTGGGCAGAGCTCTACGCTTCCTTGAGACAATTTAAGATGTAGAGTCACGTACAAAATATCTGCAAACGTAACAGTGTTGAGCAGCTGGAAAGCCGAAACGACTCCCTCCACAATCTACACCCGCGACCTATTTATCGAGTACAATACAGGCGATGATGATGGTTGCTAGGCAACCTGACGTCATAAAAGTAGAATTCTACTTGTCGTAATCCCAGCCCTGGCCATGAAGGCCACCCAGGACATGAAAAGGGTGACGACTTAACCAAAGGAGGCTCAGCCACTGAGATGATAGGCCCGGGACTATTCTGCGGTATTTTTGCAGGCCTTTTTAAAACATCTATCAACAACTGGATAGACAGAGAGTTCCACATGGCAGCAAACACCAGGACAACGACAGGCAAAGCAGTTCATCAAATCCTGTTCGCCCAAGTTCACAGCGGAGCGGACCTACTAAACCACACGCGTGAGATTGTTAGGATAACGGGAGGGCAATTATTAACGGGGCATTGCAAACTTAAAAAGCACTTAGAAAGAATGAGTCTGGCAGAGGCTAGCCTGTGCAGGTTCTGTCAGCAGGCGGAATAAACTGCCTTACATGTGTGGTACCACTGCGGAGCATTATGCAGGTAGGTTTGCGAGGCTTGTAGAGGAAAAGCCCAATCCGGCAAGGTATATGGAGTGGCCATTATCGTGGCTCTGAAGTCTAGTACACAGCACAATAAATGTAACAAGGTTGCAGTGGTAGAGGACGCCTCTGCGCCATCTCCATTCAAACAAATCTAATCTAATCTAATAGATAGGAGAGCTCAAACGATAATCTAGCTATGAACCACAAATGCTAGTTAGACCATATTCTGATAATACCATATTATATGAACATGAACATAAACTTGTTATCCATTATATAATGTCATCCAATTCTTTTGTGATTAAGAAAACAACACCTCTCCGACTAATTTTTTTTTTCCCCATTGTGATGAAGTAGGTATACCTATGCAGGGATTTTAGGGACGTATATAAGGCATTTACCTCGCCTCCTCATTTCGCTCTGACTCTAAACTTGCCCTGGTATAAATAAATAAACCTCCGAGGTTATCATAACAAATTAATCCATACATACGCACGTCATATATCGAAGACAACTAATAACTATTAAATATTATTGCAGCAACAGTTTACATAGATTACCATGCAAGCAAGTCCATAATGTATTTAAGTAACATTCTGGTGATTATGGGCACATTCCTGACATCATCAGGAAAACTTCTAATAAAAAATGAATCTGAAAATTTACTGGAAAAATATTTGGGCGATATTTTTCCTGAATTCGAGGCTACCAACTACGCTCTAACAAATTTTGACCTCAAACGCCCGTCCATACCAAAGATTTTAATAAATTTCAAAGTGGACATCAAGATTTTCATGCAATATTGTCCAAAAATTGTATTATTTGACTTAAGAGACCCATCACAAAACTCAAAAACGACATTAAATTATTTTGGAAAAATTAATTGTGGATCGTCATCTAAAATCGTTATAATAACCAATCAAAGCAATTTTCAGTTTAACTTTTTTAAGGATTATGTCTTGTATGTTTTTGATGAAAAATTGGGGCAAGGTAAAAACTACACTAAAACAAATCAAATCATCAAGTTTTCTTATTTTTCAGTTTTCCCACCAGAAACCGCAACAATCAAAATCATGTACAGAGACGTACTACCTTTTACAGATTCAGAAACAAATAACGGATTGGAGGAAACTATTTTAAGAATAATCTTCAAACATTTAAATTTAAAATACATTAGTTCATTTACGGATGAATTACATCCGATAAGCAAAAATGCTACAACAGGAAACTACACTAATCTTCCTCTTTTACTTCTACAACATGGTTTAGTGGATGTGGTAGGAGGGGGATTTCATCCAAGTGTAAATGATATGTATAAAGATTTTCAATACTCCATAGTGTATTTTGTGGATACTCTGAACCTGATATCTCCCAAAGCAAAAATTAAACCTATAGGAAGAAGAGTTCTGCAGATGTATTCATGGGAGCTTATCGTTGTGTCAGCGATGGTTTTTATACTTTTATTATTTTTTATTAAGTATTTTTACAAAACTCCATCAGTGTTTATTATTATCTTCTGGTTTTATCAACTATTATTAGATGAAGCAATTAATAATATTGAGAAAAAGTGCTCTTTCCGCTTCCTACTGAGCTTTGTTTTAATGGCTTATCTCATAAGTTCTACTGCCTTTAAAAATACATTAACTCAAATTTATTTCAGTAAAGAATATGAACCTGAAATTCATTCGTATCAAGATGTGATAGAAAGTGGCTTGACTGTTTATACCAGATATTTAAATGCAACTGAAGATGTTGAAGAGTTGGCCGAGAGGTTAGAACTTTGCCGGGACTTCGGTGAATGCTTGCTTCGCATAGCACATAAAAGAGATCATTTAATGTTTTTCCAAAGAATCCCAGTTGTATACAACACACCAAGATATTTTACCAACAATGATACAGGAGAATCTTTACTGCATATAGGTGCCAGTTTTCAACAAATACCATATCAAATATATTTCAGAAAAAACTTTCCTGCGTTTGAAAATATCAATGAATTACTACTACGCACTTTTGATACTGGTATTCTAAGAGCAGAGGCTAGGCGGTTAAGGTCCCATTATGATTATTGGATATTTAGTCCAGCCCAGAAAATTAGTAGCCAAGTGCTGAACTTTACTCAGTTGAAGTTTGTGTTTGTTATTTGGTTAATTGGTATAATACTGGCAACTTTAACATTATGTGTAGAAGTGAATTTTTAATTTACGTTACGTATAGGTACCTAGTTATGCAATTTTAATACAATTATTCCTCAGTATAAAAGAAATGTAAGCTTTGCGCATTAACGGTGTTGTATATTTTCAAATAAAGGTTGTTGTAATTATAATAATTACCTACCAACTCAACAGTTGAGATAAGATAAAATATGTCAATCTATAATCAAATGAAATTAAAATAAAAAAGCATAACCAAAATACAAAATGTTCCTATTTTTCGTTTTCCTAGAAAAAAAACGCCCTTCGGAGTTAACGTTTAGACACCGGTCTAAACACCCACACAAAAATACCTATATCCCTTCCTTGCTGTAGTAAGTGCCTTGTCTGGTTACAGTTACAGCATCCCGTTTCTAGTATAGCAAGTGCCTTGTTTGGCTATACACTCCTTCCTACATCCTATTTATTCAAATATACACGTACACTGGCGCCCTTAGGAGTTAACGCTCAGACACCGGTCTAAAGCACCTACACATACATTCCTATTTCCTTCCCGCTGTAGCAAGTGCCTTGTCTGGTTGCAGCATCCCATCCTCAACAGATCAGAACAAAAGGATCGGTACAGATACTAGCAGACAGCAGCAAAAAAGGAGACAAAAAACACCAGGTCCTAAAGTCAAACTGATCAGCTGGGATTTACCTACACAAAGAGGAGTAAAAAGAACATAACCAATAGCAGTACCTAGGCAAAATCCGAAATGGAAGAAGCCAACGAACTCGCTAAAGCAGAAGAAACCTTGGGTAAAAAGTTAAAAACCGTATTTTCCAATTACAAAAAGGACCCCCATGAGAAAAAAAATCAACAATATTTTCTCAGAAAAACTGCCGAACTTGAATCCATTTCGGAAAACATTGAAGCAAACCATAAACAAGTCATAGAGCTTGACATTCCGACACATCCATATTTTACAGACGACTATTTTCGTCAACTACAGGAATTATTTCATGAAATCACAAAACACATTATCGATTCCAAACAAAAGCTGCGTCAGGCAACCAAACCACCCGCACAACAAGGACCCTCATATTACGATCCAAACCAGTATCAGGCACCAAAAAATCATTTGAAAGAAGAAGAGGTCCGAATGAACCAAATGAGTCAAACCTTAAGGGACATCTCGAACGACCTAATCAGTGAGCAGTCTCGCAACCGTTACCAGTTTCTATTAGAGAAGCTATCCAAGCAATGGGACTAAAATTACATCGAGCTTTAGGTTCAGGGAATTGACAGTACTATCAAAAATGCCATTCAAGACCTTGAAAAGCGGTACGAAAAAACAGTACAAAACCTCCAGGACAAGATTCAAGGAGTAGAACAAGATGTGAAAAAATGCAATATACCATTACCTCAGATTAAACTACCAATTTTTGAAGGCCGATATGCAGTGGGTCACATTTCGAGACATTTTCATCAAAGTGGTTCATGAAAAACCAAAAATTACGACAATAGAGAAAATGCAGTATCTTAAAACTCATCTGAGAGGGAAAGCTGGAAGACTGATCCGCAGCACCTGTTTATAGCAGAAACCAACTATGGCCCAGCTTGGAATATTCTCAATGACAGAGACCGCAACAACAGACTTATAGTAGTCTCCAAAGTACTAAATAGAATCTTAAATCTTCCAGTGATTATTCACGAATCATCATTCAAGATTAAACAGCGTCAGGATACAGTTGTGGAATGTCTTGAAGCCATCAATAATCTTAAGTATTATTACAAATCAATTGAATATTTGTTACTTTAAGACAAGATAACCTAGGGTCGTGGACTTCAAAAAATTAGGATAACGTGCAGTCTCTTTATGTGCAAATGAAACCACTCAAAATCCAACAAACAATAATTTTATTTGATATTTAACAATGTTATATGTAACATAGAGTTATAGAGTAACAGTAAATGTTACTTTCTATTAAATTTTAGTGTTGACAACTTGGTTTTTCCGGTGAATCTGATACCATATACCTTTCCAATCCAGAGCTCTTCAATGGGCGTTGGGGTTTCACTTTCGTGAACTGGAGCTCTTTGTTTTGTTTCCTTTATTCAGGAAGAGAATAGATTGCTGGGGTGACGTCATTCTAGCTGATTCAGACTTCAGTGATCTTTATGTGGAGTAGGTAGGTACCCAGAAAAGAATAAGGCAGTATCAGGTTCACCAATATTTGGAATATAAAATCCCTGAATTCTGTCAAAAAATGAGTGTCTTGCAAAGGAAATTGAAATTTAATATAAAACGATTGTTGTACCGACACTCCCTTCCAACAGAATCAGGTATGAACAGCTATTGCTCTCGCAGAAAAAAATATGAACAAAATAAGGTGAAAAAATAAGAAATTAAATCTTTGGATTCTCCCCCAAATAGACAAAATTTTCCTATTGAATTAAAGTAGCCACAATAGATACTACAAGATAAACCTGACGGTGAAATCAATCAATTCCAGAATATGTCAAAATTCTCGAGATTCTCGAGTTCTAATTCAAACTTTTTTCTGAGGTTTTGACCTGTCTGAATTTATATTGACGGAGTCAAACAGAAAATGGCTGTTCAGGCCTCTGCCTGGATTCAATAAAGAGTTGATGGAGATGGACACAAAAATTTGGTTTTCACCGACTCTATTTAGCAAATGGTCCAATATTCCCACACTAACAATTGATTCTGAAAACCAGAGTAGCAGTACCTATTTGTCCAAAAGTCTGAATTGACTTACCTCAGGAAAACGTGGCACTATCAATCGGCACTCACACAAAGTGGAAGCACACAATTAGATTGCAAAATATTAAAATTTAATATTTATATTTCAAGAACAGAGAAGATAAGATTTATCAGGTAAAAACTTAATAATGATATGATGATATGAATTGATAGCAAAATATATTGAAAAATCTATAAGGGAGAATCTAAAAATTAAGAGCAAAAATTACTAAAAATAAAAAGGACTCGCCTGCCAGACTTCTGTCGAGGAAAGAGAGCGTTTCAGAAACCAAAGCCCACACGAAAACGATCCTGTGTTTTTTATACTCAATTGCACTTTTACCAGTTCAACCAGTTCAACCAATCAGACGAGTATACCCAAAAGATCATATTCTCTTTACAATGAAATCGCAATGAAAAACCACGTGGAATAAAAGAGAACAGATAAAAATCCACTAGAATTATTTCAATTGTTTACAAATTATAATAATTTGAATTAATAAAAAACTGCTAATTAGTTAGGTCATTAAGCCAAAAAAAGATTATTTCAAAATCAGAAGTTAGAGAAAGACAGAAATATATCCATTTGCTAAAAGTGAGATAAATTTAATTTCTTTGAATGAAAATACGAATGAATATCAAATAAAAATAGCCAAGCAAAACTGTCACAATTCAAAAAAAAAACTCATCCGGTACTAGATGGCAGCACTGGTAAATGGATTCTAGATATTTGCATTTTACGCACATGATGGATAGATGGCAGCACTTGTATTATTTTGAACACTGTGAATACTTTTAGATTATTATGAATTTTTATTTTGCTGATTCTGAAATCGAAAAAATACAACTTTATAATTAAAATAAGAAGAGATGGAACATGTTACGTAAATGATAAATTTATCGTAACAAGGTAGCGACATTAAGTCAAGATGTTATCAAGGCAAAAATTTTCATGTGATGTTGTGTTCATTAATGTTGAAGTAGAGCTATCCATCAAAGCTGAAGGAAACAAATAAGTTACGGAGATCCTGAGTTATTTTAACTATCGTTGAAAAATGGACATTCAAGTCAGCTGCCATAATAATAATAATTAACTTTTCATATCAAAACTCTGTAAAATATGATAGGTATTGGGTTGAATCGATGATATTCATCCTTATCTAAAACAAAAAATAATTTCTGAAATTACCATCTAGATTGGGATTGTCTACTGAATGTTTTATCTTTAATCTTTTCAGCTGTGTTATCTAAAAATCTAGAACACAGTAAACGTATATTATCAAAATGTCACATAAAATTGTTTTATTATACATAAATACTTACTAGTTGCGTTTTTTATTCTTTGCTTCTGATGGTGACGTTTTAATTGAGTTTATTTTACGAGGGATCAAAAAAAATTCTAGAGGAAAAGTAAAGCATCAAGAGTGTGTTGTATATAAAGAAAAACTTTTTAGTATGTATTTTCAATAATTGAACCATTTTCCTTTAAACTTTTCATTCAGATTTCTTTTCATTTTGTCATCTAATTTCCTTCCAATTTTACAATAATTTAAACCCACGAGTAACTTATCTCTGTCCTAAAGATTCTCTGTTTGCTTTAGTGCTTTTATTCAAACCAAAATCTTATTGTATGTATGACTTTGACTTTGGATCTTCCTGATTACTAATTTCTTCTAGATTTGTAGCAGGTATAAAAGTTACCAGGAACTTCGCATCCTTTTCCTGAAATTGTTGTGTGTAGGTTACTGAGCATTATTTACAATTGAAATCCTAGAATATTGTTAAAAAAATTTTTGGATTTTATACACTTAAACCACTTTGCACCTACTTAGTGTTAAAACAATCTAACATTAACTACAAGATTTTCAAATTATTAAGTAGGTAGGTAACCTACCTAATTCTAATAAACTTCTGAAAGAAAATTGTAAAATATGTCTCTTGACTTTGAGTTTGCCCTGGTATAATAGAAACTCAAAGTCCAAGGTTATCATAACAAATTAAGTCATAATACATAAAACCCTATTGACTCTGAAGTATTATTGCAGTGTTTAGCAATACTTTAATAAAGACTAACAAGCAGTTGAGAAAAGATGTTTTTAAGTAATATAGTGTTTGTTATTGGCACATTATTGATAACTTCATCAGGAAAACTTCTATTAGAAAACGAATCTGAAAATTTGCTCTATAAAAGTTTAAGCGATATTTTGCCTAAATTTGAGGCTGCCGACTACGCTCTGACAAATGTTGATCTCACAGGCCAATCTATACCAAAGGTTTCAATTAATTTTAATGTTGACATCAAGATTTTCATTAAAGATTGTCCAAAAATTGCATTGTTTGACATAAGAGACTCGGAAAACTCGAATACGATATTAAATTATTTTGAAAAAATAAATTGTGGAACTTCAACGATAATCGTTATAATAACTAATCATAGCAATTCTCAGTATAAAAGTTTAGATGATTATATTTTCTATATTTTAGAAGAAAAATTGGACTTTAAACAGTTGGGACAAGGTAAAAACTAGGCAAAGCCAAATAAAAAATTTCAAATTTCCGTATTTTCCAGTTTCCTCGCCAAAAACCGACACCATCAGAATTATGTACAGAAATTTACCACCGTTTGCAAATCCCCAAACATCCAACGGATTAGACGAAATTATTTTAAGATTAATCCTCAAACGTTTAAAGTTAAAAAACACCATTGAATTTGAAAATGAATTAACTCCCATAGGTAAAAATGCTTCGACAGGCAACTACACTAACGTACCTCTTTTACTTCTGCAATATGGTTTAGTAGATGTGGTAGCAGGAGGATTTCATCCGAGTGAAAATGACATGTTTAAAGATTTTCAATACTCCATAGTTTATGCTACGGATACTTTGAATTTGATAGCTCCAAAATCAAAAGTTAAATCCATAGGAAAAAGAGTTATGCACATATATTCATGGAAGCTTAGCATTACTTCAGCAGTTGTTTTTCTACTTGTAGTATTTTTTATTGAGCATTTTTACAAAACTCCATCAGTATTTATAATTATTATGTGGTTTTATCAAATGTTATTAGATGGAGCAGTTAATAATATTCAGAAAAAGTGTACTTTTCTTTTACCAATGAGCTTTATTCTAATGGCTAATCTCATAAGTGCTACTGCCTTCAAAAATACATTAACTCTTATCTATTTTAGTAAAGAATATGAACCTGAAATTCATTCATATGAAGATATAACACAAAGTGGCTTGAATATTTATGTTAGACATTTGACAGCAATTAAAGATTATAAAGAGCTGACTGAAAAGTTAGACATTTGCCAGGATCTTTCTGAATGCCTGCAACGCATCGCATATCAGAGGGATTGTTTATTGTTATATCAAAAAATCCCAGTTTTATATAGCATCCCACGATATTATACTGATAATCAGACAAGAGAACCTTTACTGTACGTAGGGACGAGCTTTCAACAAGTGCCATATCAAATATACTTCAGATTAAACTTGCCTGCTTTCAAAGAGATTAATAGATTATTGATTCACATATATGAAGCTGGTATTATAGTGGCAGAGACTGAATGGAAAATTTTTCTTTATAGATGGAGATTAAGTCTCGGCCAGAAAATTAGTAGCCGAGTGCTGAACATGATTCAATTGGAGTTTGTGTTTGTTTTTTGGTTAGTTGGTATAATATTGGCAACTTTAACATTATGTGGGGAAGTGTATATTTATAATCATTTTAGGAATTGAATTTAATAAAAATTTCTGTTTAATTATAATCAGTTTTATTAACTTCATGACCTCTACGATTTTATTCTAGGTTCAATTCGATCATGACAGTTAACAACGGTACAGTTATCCTTTCACAAAAGTGTAATAGGTACCAAGGAAACTTCTGGAGATTGTCCCGGGAATGCAGTCAATTTATGATGTTGACTCAATCCTATTGGTACTTACCAATATCCACTTCTCAGGTCAAGAGTAGAAAACCAAAGAACTTCTGCTAAGGTTGTTTCTACTCGTTATTTCGTTAATTCCTTATTCTTCTTATTCGAGTCGTTAGGTTTTTTATAATCCACATAAAGTCGTCAAAATCATTTTGTCTGTTGTCGGATAAGCAAAATCTGAATGCAAGTTGTGGGAGATTTTTCGAAGAAAACAAGGTTTGGAATAAGGTATGTTTTTCGATTGAATATCAAAATGAAATAAGTTCTTCCATATCTCTACCATGAATTATTGAATGAATAAATTAGGAATACTGTTATACTGCGACCTGCATAGATCCATTGTGTTGTAATGATCCCGATATTTACAATGTCTTTACTGTAAAAATTACATGTAATCAAATAATCAAAAACTGAATTTCCGGTAGTTCAAATCAGTATCGATAAATTAAAAATGAAACAAATTAGCGTTGACCCCAAATTAAATTAAAATATTTATATACGTTAAAATTCTATTATTTAGTCACTAAGCGTGATGTCATCTCCTGAATCAGATCAATGAACTTATTTAAAGCGAGGCCAAAATAATTAAATCGGTGATTTATGGCTCACGTGTGTCGGTTTTCTTTGAATTATATGTCCTCACATCCTTAAACAAAGAAGGAGGCACAATTTACATTGAAAATAGGCCCCCGTAAATTTCAACCAAATTCCAATATTTTGAAGGTATCATCATTGCAAGAAAAAAATTTGAAATGTAAAGAGGATCGTTTGTCTGTGATAGCTCATCAAAGTATTTAGGTCCTGCTACGCTATGCATAGGAAATATCTGAGTAAATATCCCTACATAGATTTTCTTGAATATCACGAAAAATACTAATCCGATTTTGACCTTTTTGGAGTTTGATACCTACAAAAGGTCCCCAAAAACGTCGAAATCGGATTAGTATTTTTCGGGATATCCAAGAAAATCTACATCGGGATATTTTCTCGGATTTTTCCTATGCATAGCATAGTAGGACCTACGTATTTTGATGAACTATATCTGCTATGACAGACATACGATCCTCTTTACATTTCAAATTTTTCTTTGCAATGATGATTCCTTCAAAATATTGGAATTTGGTTGAAATTTACGGGGGCCTATTTTCAATGTTAATTGTGCCTCCTTCTTTGTTGACCCCGATAAACCAGGAAATTGCGACATAATTATCCGATCCTCTAGAATGATGAAATTTGGAATTTTTGGGGGAACAAAACATATAAATACAGCGGTTTTAGAAGTTTAGATCATCAGTTGTTAGTTGAGTTTAAGTTCAGTCCAGTTTGAGTTAAAGTCTATAGTACCTAATGTGTCAGTCCGGGTACAATTCGCGAAAAGTTTCTTTTAAGGCCTCGGGGAAAACGCATTTGATTGAACTTTGAAAAGTACGGAAAATTGTGGAAAAAATAACATTCAAAGTCATTCAACATTATGTGCGTGCTCTATAGATTTTTGAAGTAAATTAAATTAAGTATTTTATCGAGTGACAATTTGAATGTAAGTACTTTAGTGATTATTATTGTTTTTCTGACTTTTAACAATGATTCTGGATGATAAGAAGTGAATTGACAATGACTTTTAATGCATAAAAACTTGAGTGATTTTGACTGGAAAAAACTGTATTGCATAACTTTAATTGCTTCCGAGTATAATGACATTTTAATTTAATTTTGCAAAGAATTAACAAAGGGGAAAATTAAAATGCTCCTGAAAATATACGATTTAGAGCAGGAGTAATTGATTAAATAATTGTGTTTATTGGCTAGGAATCCGAAAACAGTAATTGTTCTGAATAAATAAACCATTAAATAAAATGGAAGTTTCGAAAAGTAACTTGTTGTTCTTCATGAAATAAAATTGCTGTCGATAATCATTAGAAGTAGGTATTGGAAGGTTTTTTTTTTTGAAATTTGTTGTTCATGAAGAAACATTGATAATCTTAAGTGCTTTTGAATTAGGTTTTGTTTTATGTAGAAATTGTAAGATTTTCATAAAAATATAGTGAGTCGGATTATGACTTGAAATACACATGCCCCAGTGCCGTTTAGGAGATATTTTTTAAAAATTTTAAACAATTATTTCATAAAAATATACACACGTATAAACCTGCCTCCGCCTCTGACAAAAAAAACAAACTACTGTGAAAGTACACCGGCGGCGCCGCGCGGTCGCGTCACGTCGCATCGCCCAGGCAAATAAACATGAAGAAATCTTTTCGAAATTTCATTGCGACAACCAGTATTCCATTTTGCCGATTGTAGTTTCTAGTAGGGAATATTCAAAACATTTATATAGGTTTTTTGAGTATTTATTCACGCCAAAGGTGCCTAATATTTGATCGTACCTTATACATGGCTTAAAAATAAAGTGGTTCAATTTAGAATAGATAAACTATACCAATATCCACTTCTTAGGTCAAGAGTAGAAAACCAAAGAACTTCTGCTAAGGTTGTTTCTACCCGTCATTTCGTTAATTCTTTATTCTTCTTGTTCGAGTCGTTAGGTTTTCTATAATCCACATAAAGTCGTCAAAATCATTTTGTCTGTTGTCGGACAAGCAAAATCTGAATGTAAGTTGTGGGAGATTTTTCGAAGAAAACAAGGTTTGGATTAAGGTATGTTTTTCGATTGAATATCAAAATGAAATAAGTTCTTCCATATCTCTACCATGAATTATTGAATGAATAAATTAGGAATACTGTTATACTGCGACCTGCATAGATCTATTGTGTTGTAATGATCCGGAAAAATAGTCCCGATATTTACAATGTCTTTACTGTAAAAATTACATGTAATCAAATAATCAAAAACTGAATTTCCGGTATTTCAAATCAGTATCGATAAATTAAAAATGAATCAAATTAGCGTTGACCCCAAATTAAATTAAAATATTTATATACATTAAAATTCTATTATTTTGTCACCAAGCGCGATGTCATCTCCTAAATCAGATCAATAATTTTATTAAAAGCGAGGCCAAAGTAATTAAATCGGTGATTTATGGCTCACGTGTGTCGGTTTTCTTTGAATTACACTATCGGACAAAAGTAAAGCAACTCTTATAAAAATATCCAATATTTAATTTTCAAAAATAAAATATGCATTAGCGATGAATAGGATCCTTTCAGTTTAAAAGGTCATAGTAAGTTACAGTGACAGGCTAAATATGATTATTTTCAAATGTCAAATTAACTTGTGTGCGATAATTTATTTAAACAATACACCTTATTAGTACGACAAAAGTAGAGCAACTTTCAAGAAATCAAAATTTTATTGCATTTAACAACAGATAAACAGGAACTATACAACAATAATGAAAAAATATAACTCAATAGTTGATAGGATATCCATTGTTGGCTATGACTTTTTGGCAACGGCGCGACATTGATGAAATTAAATTTCGTATAGTAACAATCGGCATATTAGTCCAAACCTCGTTGATTTTATCAATCAAAAACTGTTTGTTTGGAAATGATGTGTTACGAATTTGACGTTCAACTTCTTCCCACAGGTTCTCGGTAGGGTTGAGATCCGGTGATTTTGCTGGCCACTGCAGATCTCGGACATTGTTCTGCTGCAACCACCCCTGCACAAGACGAGAGGTATGCTTGGGGTCATTGTCTTGTTGAAATACGAATCGCAAAGGCATCTCCCATTTTTTCTACATGTCCACGTTCATTGAAACGTGAAATTATTTTGGATACAATGTATTTTGGCAAAAGAAACTGCCTGGAAATGTCAACCAAACGGCTTCCTTCCAAGAAAGCGTCTACTACAATTTGTTTTAACTCCAGATAAATTGGTTTACCTTTTGGCACATTCAAATCTGTCAGAAAGACGAACAATCTTAATTTTTAACTCTAAAAATATGTTTTCCATCTTACCTGGAACTCAAATCCCTTCTTTTTGGAAAAAATAAAAAAGTTGCTTTACTTTTGTCGCGCTAATAAAGTGTATTGTTCAAATAAATTATTGCATACAAATTTTTTTTGACGTTTGAAAACAATTGAATTTCGCCTGTGAGAGCAGTCAACTACCACCTTTTAAACTGGGATCATTTTAGCTTCCGTTATCAACATGTGTATTTTTGATAGTTGAATATTTTATTTTATAATAAGAGTTGCTCTACTTTTGTCCGATAGTGTATATGTCCTCACATTCTTAAACAAAATTGTTGACCCCGATAAACCAGGAAATTGCGACATAATTATTCGATTTTAAACAAATAACAAAGGAGATTGCATCATCCTCTAGAATGATGAAATTTGGAATTTTTGGGGGAACAAAACATATAAATACAGCGGTTTTAGAAGTTTAGATCGTTAGGTGTTAGTTGAGTTTAAGTTCAGTCCAGTTTGAGTTAAAGTCTACAGTACCTAATATGTCAGTCCGGGTAAAATTCGCGAAAAGTTTCTTTTAAGGCCTCGGGGAAAACGCGTTTGCTTGAACTTTGAAAAGTAAGGAAAATTGTGAAAGAAATAACATTTAAAGTCATTCAACATTATGTGCGTGCTCTATAGATTTTTGAAGTAAATTAAATTAAGTATTTTATCGAGTGACAAGTTAAATGTAAGTTCTTTAGTGATTATTATTGTTTTTCTGACTTTTAACAATGATTCTGAATGATAAGAAGTGAATTGACAATTACTTTTAATGCATAAAAACTTGAGTGATTTTGACTGGAAAAACTCGATTGCATAACTTTAATTGCTTTCGAGTATGATGACATTTTAATTTAATTTTGCAAAGAATTAGCAAAGGGAAAATTATAATGCTCCTGACAATATACGATTTTGAGTAGGAGTTATTGATTAAATAATTGTGTTTATTGGCTAGGAATCTGAAAACAGTAATTGTTCTGATTAAATAAACCATTAAATAAAATGGAAGTTTCGGAAAGTAACTTGTTGTTCTTGATGAAATAAAATTGCTGTCGACTGTCGATAATCATTAGAAGTATTGGAAGGTTTTTTTTTTGAAATTTGTTGTTCATGAAGAAACATTGATAATCTTAAGTGCTGAAATTTTGAATTAGGTTTCGTTTTATGTAGAAGTTATTGTAAGATTTTTATAAAAATATAGTGAGTCGGATTATGACTTAAATAATTAGTTTGCATAAGCAGTCAGTAAAGGACTTAGGAATTTTTAAGAATTTATAGATATAGGTGAAGGGTAGTTTAATAGGAATGTGAATCGAAAGTGTTGTAATGGATAAACTTATAAGTTATTAAGAATAGTAGAAGTAGGCCGCTTCTTTTTGTATGGATATTTCTTGGTCCGTAATGAAATTTGAACAGATGTGAAATAATTTGAATGGGGAAAAATAGAAGTTGCTGTCAGAATAGAAAGATATTTTGCTTATTTAATTTTTTGGTCTTAAGTATAATGAAAAAAATGACTAATTTTTAGTAGGTACCTACCAATGCTACGAAATATCTCTAACATCTAATTTGTTCATGCGGATGCCATACCATGCTGAAGGCGGGTTTTGGGTTCATCTATGAAATAGCCGAAAAATTATCTATTTTGATAATATCAGCCTTGTTTAATACAATACATAATTGCATCAAATAAATTATTATCCACTCGTTTGTTTACTAAAATGTTTCAGTTTTATCTCTAATAATCTTGTCACCATAATAGGTATCTGAAAATCTAGAACGCAATAAACACATATGTCACGCTAAATAATTTTTTTAGGTAGGTACTCACGTGTTTTGTTTTCTCCTAGGGATGAATAAATTGATTTTACGCTACGAGGGATCAACAACCAGTAGCTCTTTCTTGAAAGGTATGCACCTAGTGATCAAATTATACAGCACAATAGGAGTTTGAAGATTTCTATATTTTCTTGGTTGTATTATCAAAGCAATGGAAAAAAATCGCGAAGATTGCTCATGTTTTGATTAGGTACCTATTCATCGCATATGGATCGTACTTTCTAGTGAGAATAGTGAGATCAGTACCATCAATCAATAATTACTCATCGATGTATTCTTCTTAACCTGGCTATTACCTCTGATATAATTAGAAAAAATCCTTATTCTGCTGGGCCAACCGGCCAAATTATACCCATAGTATCAGCATGCAAAGATTTTAGTTTCAAAAATTCACAGTTACTGATTTTAATTATGTACTGAAATAATATTAATCCCAAAAATATTAAAACGTTAAGCTGTGTTAAAACCTTATTATTTAAAACAAGTGATCTCAACGCTGGTAATAATTATAAAACCAATCTGAAATTTGATAATGGTATGAGTATGCAAAGTCTTTTTGGATGCTCCACATAAGTTGCTTTGTAATTGGAAGAGCAGTCCGACACTCATGCCTGCAAGATTTCCAAATATTTGATATAGCCTTGACTTTGAAATTCCTAACTGGCCCTGGTACAAAAGAAACTCAAGGTCCAAAGTTATCATAACAAATTAAGTCATGCATGAAGGACAACTCTCTATTACCTACAAAAAATTATAGCTGTATCGACAGTTAGTGTAGATTATAGATTATCATTTACCATGCAATCAACTCCATCAGACAATATGTTTTTGAGTAATATCCTGGTGCTTATAAGCACTTTCCTGTCAACTTCATCAGGAAAATTTCTAATCAAAAACAATTCTGATTTGCTTTATGAAAGTTTGAGTGATATTTTGCCTAAATTTGAGGCAACCAATTATGCTCTAACAAATGTTGACCTCAAACACTTATCCATACCAAAGATTTTGATAAATCTTGATGTAAACATTAAGATCTTCATGAAATATTGCCCGAAAATTGCATTGTTTGACTTACGAGACTCAGAAAACTCAAAGACATTGGATTATTTCGAAAAAATAAATTGTGGATCCTCAACAATAATTATCATAATTACAAATCAAAGCAATTTTCAGTATAATTCAAGCATAAAGGATTATGTTTTGTATATTTTAGAAGAAAAATTTGGCTTTATCTTTATGGGACAAGGTATAAACTGGACAAATGTAAATAAAATCATCAATTTTCTTATTTTGCAGTTTCCTTTCCAAAAACTGCCACCATCAAAATTATGTACAGAGATTTACCACCTTTCACAGATTATGAAACAAACAATGGAGTAGATCAAATTCTTCTACGATTACTTCTTAAACGTTTGAATTTCAATTTCAGCTTTGAATTTGATCCTGAATTACATCCCATAGGCAAGAATTATACAACAGGAAACTACACCAACCCACCTCTTTTACTTTTACAATATGGTTTAGTGGACATAGTAGCAGGAGGGTTTCATCCGAGTGAAAATGATATGTATAAAGATTTTCAATACTCCATAGTTTATGCCATGGATACTTTGAATTTGATAGCTCCTAAATCAGAAGTGAAATCTATAGGAAAAAGAGTAATGCAGATTTATTCTTGGCAACTCACCATTGTTTTTGTAATTGGTTTTATACTTGTAGTTTTATTTATTAACAATTTTTACAAAAGTTCACCAGTCTTTATCATCGCCTCTTGGTTTTTTCAAATGTTATTAGAAGGAGCAGTTAACAATATCCAGAAAAAGTGTACTTTTCGTCTACTAATGAGCTTTATTCTAATGGCTTATCTCATAGATATTACTGTCTATAAAAATACCCTAACATTAATTTATTTCAGTAAAGAATATGAACCTGAAATTCATTCTTGTGAAGATCTAATAGAAAGTGGCTTGAAAATTTATGCCAGACACTTAAATGCATCTGGACATACTCAGGAGCTAGCTGACAAATTAGAACTTTGTGAGGATATTTTTGAATGCTTGAAACGTGTAGCATACCAGAGAGATTATTCAATGCTTTTTCAAAGAATCCCAACTGTATTTAACACACCACGATACTTTACTAATAATCAGACAAGAGAGCCTTTATTGTATGTAGGAACAAGCTTTCAACAAGTGCCTTATCAAATATATTTCAGAATAAACTTTCCTGTTTTTGATGCTATTAATAATTTGTTTCTACACGCTTATGAAGCTGGTTTTGTTGGTGCAGAAGCTGAGAGGAAAATTTTTCTTTTTAAATGGATGTTAAGTCACAGCCAGAAAATTACAAGTCGAGTGCTCAACTTTACTCAATTGCAGTTTGTGTTTGTTGCCTGGTTGCTTGGTATAATATGGGCAACTTTAACATTATGCGGGGAACTGTATATTTATAACTATTGTGATTGATTTTATTAAAGATGTTCTTCATTTTTTGGAAATTTTATTATGCTTATGATACAAAAACCAATTTAACCCAAACAAAAAATTAATAGGGGAACATACATAATCTTGCTTAGAGTACTCAACAACATCCTCAACTTTCATTTCGATGACCTCAACGATTTCATGTTCCTCAAGGCAACCACCACCTTCATGAACTCGTTGTTCTTCAGTTACTTCACAATAGTAGAACGTCAACCTTGCACCAGTGGTTTCTGATAAATTACAAATGGTAAATATCCTTTCGAGGCTCTCAATTGGAACTTGATAGCCGCATTCTTCCAGGATTTCTTCTCGAGCTATCTCTTCGGATGGTATATCTTTGTCCTCGAGTCCTGCACAGAATTCTAGTGTCACAGCTAGTTTTGGAGGATGTTTGATCACATCTATGCAATTTCTTTCTTCTAAAGGGATTAATTGATGGTAGACTGAAGGCCTGAATTGTTTGACCAACACCAAAACATCTTTGGTTTTGTTGTATAAAATTATAACAACCCCGTTTCTTTCGAGGAATACATCTTTACGTTTTTCTTGGCCGTTTTGTTTGTAATGCAATGTGGCCGGTGTTGTGTATATTGTCGGAATGTAGTCTGTTAGATGTACATTTGATACATTTTCCATTTTACTGAACAAATTAAATAAACTGTAGTACAATAATTATTATTAAAAAAAATATATAAAAAAGAAAAATAGTTGGCAAATAAAAGGAAGTTAAGTAAGGTTAAGTAACACGTATACAATTTTTTTAAAGCCTGAATTATTTCATGTGATATAAAGGAATTCATGGGATGAGTTGTTAGTTAATACTTACCAATCTCACCAAACAAATTCAAATGCCTATAAACAGGAAACTTTGGCATGGCTGGCGGTAAGTTGTGGAAAAGTTTAAATTTTTGCCGCAATTTTTTAATAAACAGTGTTGCCAAGTTTACTTTTACTGAACTGAACTATTCGGAGCGGTTAATTGAAATCCGCCGTAACAACTGGTACCTGCCCTAGAGCCAACGGTCCAAAATGCAATTTAAGGTGGGTTCGGGATGACTGTTCTATAAACTCCAAGTGCACTAAACACTCCCGATGCGTTCGGGTTTTGTCATTTTGAGCTAAGAGAGTAACTCCACATGCGTTCGGGAAGGACGTGCGGGAGTCAAAAGAGCTGACTCTGAAAGCACCACCTCGTCATCAGCAAGCGCCGGAGCGGGCATGCGCACTGTGTGCGTTTTCGTGATTTTGTGTCATTTATATATATTATTTTTTTAATTGCGACAATCGACTATTCGACTAATCGACAGTCAACAAATCAATATTTAATCTGTGATTTCTTGGTAAATGGATGGAATGGAATGGATTTTAAACTGCTTATTTGACATGCAAGCAACGCGTAATTTCACTGAAATTTCCAATGATAATCTTGAAGACTTCTTTAGACAAGTCTGCGAAATAAACGTCCTCAACAAAATCAAATATAGGCACCAAATACCAAAAATTCATAGAAAAGATTAGAAAAACGTTTGTTGTTTTTAAAATAATACCTGTCATTTGTCATTTTGTGGGTTAGGTTAAGTTAGGAAACTCCAAATGCACCTTGGCCGTTCGGTTTCACTAATACACTCCAAAAGCTTTTCGGTCACGTGATAAAAACGCCACTCCAACTCTACTCGAGCTCCGCTGGGCCATCCCGAACCCAGCTTTAGTGTACTGAATCACATTTCACTGAAAAAATGACTTATGACGTCACCAATACGTCACTAATTTAGTACTGTGTTTGCCAAAGTGGTGGGGTCTTGGTTTTTCCCGTTCTGAATGAACTATTTCCATTGGTTATTGCTGGAAATAAATATGATTTGAAGTCTGTTTTTTTTTTAAAGATAATTCCCCAAGTCAAAAATTTAGTGACTATGTTGCCAACACAAGTCTTTACTACATAAAAAAATTGAAAGCATTTGACAACTTTACAATTGTATTGCCAACATAATGTCATTTTGACTTTCATCTTTAAAAAAAAAAAACGACTTTATGCACTTGAGAAATCTTCAGAAGAATCAGATAATGAAAATTAAAATCAAATAATAAAAGAAAAACAAAATGAGAGACAAACCGCATCACCTTAAAACACCACCAAATACACAGAAAACAGTTTTATGATAATGGAACGTCACGGTTGGGTTGTCTGAAAGTAAATGAAATCCTTATGGCGCCAATTTCACTGTTTGCCCTAGGACACCATATTGATTGGATTGCCCTGAGACGGTACTGCCAGTTAAAAAAAAAACACAGCCTTTGTCAATGAACTTTAATATCAAATTGACAGGTTCTTTTTTTTTAAGACCCTGGTCTAATCCAAGGTTGTTTAAAAGAAGAAAGTTGCCTGATAACTTTTATGACGTCATCGGTATGCCCGAACATAATGCAAATTTCCATAAGGTACCCCAGATTCTACAGGAATGCTCATTCCCATTAGACAAACGTTCATAAAAACATCGAAGATGGCGGTATGCGAATGACGTCACGCAGTCCTTGATCGGATTGTGTTTTATTATGACAGTGCACTTTCCTTACATTTTCAAACGTGAAAAATTGTTATTTTGAGGTTATTTCCTTTGAAAACTATTTTGTAATTAATTTATTAATTTAAAAATTAGCAGACTTCAAAAGTTTGTGTCCTTGAGGCTTGAGTGGTTGGCTAATTAGAAAGACGAGTTTGTTTGCTTTTGTTTATCAATTAGCCAAACATATTGCCGAAAAATTAAAAAAACAAAGGGCTGGAGTCAAGCTGGCCCCCGGATTTGTTTCAATTTTTTTTTTTGTGTATGGAAATGAGCACAATTCGCATAAATACTGGCACAATTGAACACAAAACGGGCACAATTGACTACAGTTGAGAAACAGTAGAAAACCAAATGTGGGGTGCCAACTTGAGCGAGCCGGTTTAAATTTTGCATTTCAATATCAAAATATAAGCGAAACATGGTTGCAATAGTGTGTTTTATTTTTTACTGTCCCTACCTACTACTTCTCAATTATTATTCAATAGTTTAATAGGTACTAGAACGATTTAATATGGACATTCAAAGTAAGCTTATTTCACAAAGCCAAATAGTGATACCTAATTTAGATTTTTATAATCATATTCCAGAAAAACATTGCAAGTTTCCCATATTTTCCATGCGTTTTCATAGTAAACGCGCCAATAAAGCAATTTATTTACATATTTATTTATTCACTCTTTACAAACATTAATTTTTAGTAATTACATGCAAAGGAAACTTATAACTAACTAGATATTTGATTTACAAAAAAAAAGCAATACAAATGCTTGACTAGGAAATACCTACTACAGTAGAAAACTAGCAATACACACGAATAAAAGAAAGCGATGTCCTGATACATCAAACCCAGTATTATAAAACCACTAGAACCAGAAAATGCTTGGAGTTTTCGCGAGTATTTTCAGCCACGAGTCTTTTATGCTTACACACATTAAATTAATCATTCGTATCAGCGGCCATCTTAAAAATCAGGGATGCACGTGACGTCACAGCAATTGTGAACAAATTTAGCCGATTGAGCAATCCTGTTGAGTTTACGATTCTTGCAGATATATGCGTCATCAAGTTACCTATTACCAGGCAACCTATTAGACAATCCAAACCACGTGACACTCAAGATGGCGTGGCGGCCACACATGGACAAAAAAATATCTAGTTTCTGTCCGATTTAAGGCCATATTCTCCGTAGTTCTTAAAGCCTGGCTTAGTGGAAAAGCTCGGCTTTGTCACACAAAAAGCCAAGCGTTTCCACTAAGCCAGGCTTTATGAACTACGGAGGATATGGCTCTTAACACTTTAGTTAGGTTCCTAAACAACAAATATTTTATTGAATAATCAAAATAAAAGCTGCAAGCAAAACTCTAAGCAAAATAATTTTAAATACGCATAAAAACACATTCGAAACAAACTTGCTTGGACGCCACGCCATATTGAATTTTCCTATTTGACAGATGGATTGGATTGCCCAATTAACTTTAGGAGCCTAGGGTCTAGTCTAAGATCACACCCAAGGATATTTATTAATATTATTAAGCACTAGGTGCAAAAGGTGTTTTATTTCCATTTGAATTGACTTTAAATAAAATAAATATTTAATATTATATATGCCAAAGTACCAGTGATGACGTATGCAGCGTGTCGTTTTTCGCCTTGACGTAGGGTGCTTATGCACGAGATGGTTATGATTGCGCTGATTTTTGCTTCAAGTATGCTTATTTTAGTTTTCTAAAACAACCCTTGTTTTGATCTCGTTTGCATCTTCGTCTTTGCCTATTATGTTAATCAAAATTAAATAATATTTTTCACATGAATGTATATTCTTGATCACGACCGCTGGCGCAAACTGCTAACAACGTCGTTGATGACGTCGACAACGGTGCAACACCATATGAACTTGACTTATGATTCTAAAAATCGAGGCCTACGAGCAATCCGGCCTCTAGTAGTGTGTAATATCGTTGGTGTAGCCTGGCCGATTCCAGAAATGCGCGCTTTTCAATGCTCTGCCTTTAAGAGTTTTATTACAATACGACCAAACAGCAAACCATATGAAATTTTGAAACCGAAAAATACCGGTGAGAACCGCTAAATTTAAATCGGTTCCGGATTCCGGTTCTGCCTGCCTTACAACACAACATTTCTATGAAATATAGGTTTCGTTCCGGTTCCGGTGTTCGGTTCAATATCGTTCCGGTCCGGGTCCCTGGCTCTCACAGAAATCACAAACTAGTCAGAGTCAGTGCGAATTTCATTAGTTGGAAATGGTCCGAAAACTGGTTGTTGGCGATTTGCAGTGCACCCATTAAAAGCGCTCTGACTGGTTTGTGATTCCTGTGAGAACCAGACCTCACTACTCTACTACAGGATTGCTCATCGGTCTCGATTATTGGAATCAAGGACATATGATATTGCACCGTTGTTGACGTTATCAACGATGTCGTCAGCTGTTTGCGCCAGTGGTCGTAGATCAAAATATGAATTTATGATGAGAAGTATTTTTTAATTTTGACATAATAGACAAAGAGAAAGATGCAAGCGAGATAGGGTGGTTTTAGAATGTTAATTAAACCAAAGCCGTTTTCTCGCGTCCACTTTTTTGACATTGGTTCAAAACAGGTTTGAAACGAGCAATGATGTTTTCATTGATTGTTTCAAACCGGTTTTGAACCAATGTCAAAATAGTGGACGCGAGAAAACGGCTCAGGTATTCATAAAGGCTGAATTCGGCTTTGCACTCCACGGAGCGGAACGGTATGAGCATGGATATCGTGACGTCATACGCGGTCATGGTCATAAGCCAACGTTAAAGAGAACATAATCCAGCGGAATCATTGCCTGTGCGCACACCTTACGTCAAAGCGAAAAACGAAACGCTGACTACGTCATCACTGGTACTTTCGCATGATGGGGTGGTTGAGATTTGAAAGACACAGGCCTTATTAAAGCTGCTCACGAAGTGACCATTTTCTAACCTAACTTCAAGAAGAAAAGGAACTGAGTTGCACGTACGATTTCACAGAACTAACGGGTCAGGAGTGCGATTTTCGAAACCATTCGAGTACATTTCGTACACGAAATTTGACTGCTCCCCATTTAATTTACATTGCTGTCAGTCAAATTTCGTGTACGAAATGTACTCGAATGGTTTCGAAAATTGGGGTGCGATTTTCGTAATGTGCACATCCGTAAGCAAATCTATAACCTATAACTTTCTATAAAGGGCGAGTTCTCATGAGCGTAAGTTGACATTTCTGCCGTAATCACGTGATGAAATGGTTGAATTTTATTGGTAAAATATTCGCCATGTTGGAGATTTTACCAATCAAATTACACCATATTATCACGTGGTTACGCCAGAAATGTCAACTTACGCTCATGAGAAATCACACTAACCATCGTGTTTTCGAACAAGCTTCTGCCAAATTAATTTTTCGACATTTCCGGTCCGGCTATGTTCCGATATCAACTCAGTACTGGATTTACTGGACGCCGTTCCGATATTCAGTACACTCAATGAACTATAATCAAAAACTGGAATGCTAACACATAAGGACGAACTTGAAGCCTAGTGCGGCTACTGCGGAGGGGATACCTGTTTTTGTCGCACTCATTATGTTAAATGGCGAAAATTGCTTCCAACACGTATTCCAATTGATGAAACCTGTGAAGGGAAATGTGACAAAACTTTCGAAAACGTCATATATCAGCGAGCAACAGAAAAAAACAACATTCCCCCTTGTGGCATCTGTCTTTGATGGCTTCATTTTTTTGGCAGATATGGCAATAGTTGTATTCCTTTCAAGAGCTTGAAACACTCGAGCTACTCGCTTCGGTGTTTAGTCGCCCCCGATTTGCAGGGAACATATGCGTGGTGCAACAAACACTTTTCGAAAGGAATAAGCGCGTGAAGCCCCGGAGCTGTTCCGGAGCTCCTCCTAGGTGTGAAAGGAATACAACTAGGGTGAGTTCAGGAATGACACACCCAGTGTGAGTGTGACACCGGTGCGACGCCCTAGCTGTTCAAAAATGCTAGACGGTGCTATGGGCCCAATGGCCAATTGTCAATTCAGGCACACCCATAGAATCGCACTCGCACCCTGTGCGTTATTTCTGAACTCGGCCCTAATGTGTGCGCATTTCAGTTTTTAGCTATAGTTCATTGAGTACACTAGATTCATAGCAATTTCTATTTGTCGAACCAGTGCAAAAAAAAAAAGTGTATCCTTATACATGTTACATGCTTTAAGAAAAAGATGCGGATACACTCAGTGCGCACTGATTGACAAATGGAAATCGCCATTAGAATAACATGCGGATACACTCGGTGCGCACTGACTGACAAATGGAAATCGCCATAGTCGATTCACTGACTGAAATGGCACAAGAGAACGTTGAAATCGGGACGACAAATGACAGTAAAGTCAGCACGATAAAATCCAGCCCACGGACTCCGTAGCCGCTTTCCAGCTGACGCTTTTGAGCACGCAATCGAGCTTTTGCGCGCGCAAATGCTTCAAGCGCATGTTCGTGTTCCAGCCGTACTGCGCTTTGAGAGCTGCTAACTTTTGCGTTTCAAACACAGAACACTGTGCTGCACCGTGCTTGAAGCACACAGCTGGAAAGCGGCTTGTGTCAGGTAGAATTCTACATATCGACAGGATTCTTTAGACTTGGCACACTAGTTGTATTCCTTTCAAGAGTTTAAAACACTAGAGCTAGTCGCTCCGGGGTTAGTCGACCCCGATTTGAAAGGAACAGATGCGCTGGCTTTCGTGCATTGAAATAGTTGAATCCGAGCTTGAGCAGAGCACTCACATGCAACCAATCAACTATAAACTACACGTATCTGGAATGGCACCGACTGTTGTGCTTAGTGCGTCCAAAAAAGCTACATAGTGGGTTATCCCTTTCTCTTTCCAGTTCATTGCTGTTAGGTTTGGCATATTCCTAACCTCGAATAAAATATTTTTTAGACAAGGAAAGATTTCCATGATTCGCCAATAAGATAAATAGAGATGTGTGTACCCCACATTCTCCATCTCAATCTGCCGCAAATTTATAGATCGGCGGGCCATTCCAGGTACGTGTAGTTTATAGTTCATTGGTTGCAATATAACACTTTTTGAAAGGAATGAGCGCGTAACGCCCCGGAGCTGTTCCGGTGCTCCTCCTAGGTGTGAAAAGAATACGCCCTCCCACACCACTCATTCCACATCCATTTCCCATTCCTTCCATCAAACAAAAACATGTCACCGTCACCCAAGCAGCAAAAAGAGACCCCTCCTAAGAACCGCGAACCAATTTTTAATTAAAAATAAATTAATTCAGCAATTAAATCACCGTGCACGTCCGCAATAAAGAAAGTTTCAAAGTGTTTCTAGTGTTTAAGTTCACTCGTGTTCGTTTCAAACAAAAAACAATGAGGACAATCTCAACTTTAATATAGGACTATAATGTTAAATGTAAACAACATTTAAAAAGCTGTTGAATGTGGGCGTACCTGTGTTAAAGGTCTTTGAATTATTTTCCGCGGATTAGAAGGTGAATTATGGCTAATTCGGTTAATGATGATACTGTTTCCGAGTGTTCAGAGGCTAGCACATTAGTTGACGGGTCTGTGATATCAACTGTGCCTGATAGACATGGATTTTTGGGTATGTAAACATTGAAATAAACATTTAAAGTCTGCTAATGTTTTATCACCAGAATACATTCACTTTCCAAGAAATGTTAACATAAATTTGCCATTAACTTATAAAGATTGTACCACCATGTACTGTACCTATCTTGTCATTCTTTAAAAGCTTAACTATTATAAATTCTAAGTTTTGTTGATATAAAATTGGCTTTATTTCAGGTGGTTCGCAGTATTCTCCAGAACCCAGACAAGGTCCGCCACCTGAGACAGTATTACGGCGAGAAAGAAAATGGTTAAAGATGTTGAGTACATGGAACTTTTACATGGAAAGAAATTATAGGAAAGTCAAGGAAAGATGTCGAAAAGGTAAGCAAAATTTTTGATTGAAAGATCAGATAAAATATGCAAAATGTTTCCTCACATTCTTTCTGCAGGTATTTAAATTTGGCTAGTTAATATGCATGAGCTGTAAAATGCTGAAGGAATGTACCTATTTATTTGTTTATCATGAATTGGAAAATTGGGTTTTTGGTTCTTGGAAAATAAGATTTTAAATTGGGCTTTTGAAAGATAGGATTTTGAGGACATAAATATATTGTTTTTTATCTACATCTGATACTCAAAAGATAAGAGTTAGAAAAACTCGAGGAAAAACTATCTCCCTATGATATCTTGGATATCTACATACATATGCCTTAAAATGTGAATGCCGCTCCCTGAGTTGTTCACCACAACCTCTAGACTTCAGGATATTCAATCAAGTATTCAATCCTCGATTAAATCCACAGAATCAATCATTTTTTATTTGATAAATCAAATCAAATCAAATAAGCCTTATTGTCTGAAAAGTGCAAATACATTTTATCAACAAAGCAGAATCCTTAAAACTAAAAATAAGCTAACATAACAAGCAAATAGGTATAGTAATTACTTAGTGAAAAACAGGAGCCTTAAACTTGGAAATAAAACACAAACTAAACTTAGGTAGTAAAACTTAAATAAAAACATAGGTGTTGAAACAGAAAGAATATATAATTAACAAATTGTAGGAAAGACTGGATAAATGAACACAAGAAAACATTTAAAACCACAACTATTGACATTATAAACAAAGTCAAAATTGATCAGCAAAGTACTCTGCTAAGGTATAATATGCCTTGTCAATCAGCAAAGCTTTTACAGCATGCTTAAATTTCTTGATAAGCTGTATGATTCTTACAGTACTTGGCAAGTGGTTATACTTGCTATTCTGGCATTATAAATGATGGAGTTTTTTTAATCAAAGTGGAGTGTGGTATAGGCAATGGCAACATTCCAACTTGTCTGTTGTTGTAAGGGTCACCGCCCACTGTCGAGGTATGATGCCCTTTGTGCACCAAGGAAACTGTTTCCAGTATATAGAGACCTGTTAGAGTAAGAACTTTATGCCTGATAAACAAGGGCCTGCAAGAATCTCTAATACCAGCTTTGCAAATATGCCTTATCGCATGCTTCTGCAACACAAAAACGGAGTTCAGTAAATATTGGCTAGAGTTTCCCCAGAAAGGAATACCATATCTGATGCGGGACTTCACCAAAGAAAAGTAAACTGTACGAGACATACTTATATTAAGTTCACGTGACACAACTCTCACAACAAAACAGCCAGTTGCCAACTTTGAACAAAAATCCAAGATGTGGGGCTTGAAACATAACTTCCTATCTATACATAAACCCAAAAATTTAACATCTGTGCAATTTGAAATTTTATTTGTGTCAAGGGCTATGTCAGGCAAAGAACCATTGAATTGAAAAATATTTGTCTTGGAAATATTAAGAGATAAATAGTTGACATCACACCATAGCTTCACATGTGCAACATCTTTAGAAATTGTCTCACTCAACTCAATAGGATCAAAACCATGCCATAATATAGTGGTGTCATCTGCAAATAATGTGAATGTACCCTTAATCCTGAGAGTGGCAATGTCGTTAACATAAAGTAAGAACAGAATAGGTCCTAGTATTGAGCCCTGCGGCACTCCGGAGGGAACAGTCAGTTCGCTAGATTTGGAACCTCGCACACCCACCCTCTGTGTTCTTCCGCTCAAGTAAAACTTGAACCAGGCAAGAGCAGTACCCCGAAAACCATACACCTCAAGCTTTTGAAGCAGTATTCTGTGATTAACGCAGTCAAACGCTTTTGAAAGATCACAGAACACTGCTGCAGCCTGTTCTCTCTCATTCAGTCTCAGATATAGGTTATTTAGGAAAGAAAATACCGCATCGTTCGTGTTTTTCCCTGCTCGAAATCCATACTGAGACACACTCAAAATACCATGCCTATCAATGAATGAGTTAACTCATATCTTCACCAACTTTTCGACTATTTTTGAAAGTGTGGTTATTAATGAGATGGGTCTAAAATTAGCGGGAGACTCAGTGTCACCATTTTTGAAAATTGAGATAACTATCGACTTTTTCAATGAGTTTAAGAAAATTCCCCTTAAGAAAGAGATATTAATGGCATCAGCCAGAGCGCTGATTGTACAATCATGAAGGTGCTGAAAAATCTTGAGAGAAATTCCGTCCCACCCGACTGCAGTTTTATTTTTTATATCATTGAAGATAGTCCGAAGTTCGCCCGAATCAGTTGGCCAAAGCTGGAACGAGTCGGTTATACAGGCATCCTTCAAATAATCCAATGGGTTGGTAATTGGGGAAATATTTTTAGCCAGGTCTCCAGCTATAGTGCAAAAATAATTATTGAAAACATTTGGTTCCACCGAAGTTTGGATTCCACTTTTGACATTTTTGTCTCTGAGATCATTAACGATCTTTCAACTATCTTTTTGCTTATTACTTGCTCTGGTTAAACGATCCTTGTAATAAGAGTTTTTTGCAAGCTGCAAGGTTTTTCTATAAATATTTCGGTATTTGTTAAAATATGCTAAAAAAAAGGCATTATGTGAATAATATTTCCGCACAGTATGCAAAAATCTTAGATTTTTTGCTGAAACGTTGATACCGCGAGAGATCCATGGCTTTTTGCGCCTTTTTCTTATTATTCTCAAAGGAAAACTATCATTAAAAACTACCACTATCAATTCATGAAATTTCTCCAGGGGATCCCCCTCACTCAAGATATCTGGCCAATTGACACCTAAGCAAGCATTTTGAAACCTTCTGAAACTATTCCTACATAAAATTCTCTCTCGTTTCCCCGGTAGTATAGATTTATTTACATTACAGGGTATAGTACACAAAACAGCCTCATGGTCAGAAATACCTGCATTTACTGCTTCGCAGAAGACTTCCTCATCCCCGCTTGAACAGACATAATCCAAAATAGAGGACGAAAATTTGGATAATCTAGTAGGACTATTTACATGCATTTTCAAATTAACAGACTTCAGCAAATTACGAAGTTCAAGGGTGTATTGATTGTCTTCATTGTCATAGTATATATTAAGGTCGCCTGTTAAAATTACATTATATCTAGGACAAAACTCTGACAAGAGTACTTCCAGTCTTTCCACAAATAGATGTTCGCCGCACAAAGGCGATCTGTACAAACATAAAACAAAAAGATTCAGTTTTTTGCAAAAAATCATAGAGAATTCAAATTCTTTCTCCACAATCAAGTTGTCATACTTATTCACACTAGCAAAATTATAATTTTTAAACAAATCGTGATTTACTAATATCATTGTACCTCCATGTTGGAGGGTTTCCCTACAATAGCATGACAACAGTTCATAATTTTCAACAAATATTGGTTAAGCTTAAGCCAATGCTCTGTTAAGCAAATTATATTGGGAAAACTACAGCTATCAAGAAACGCAGAAAGTTCATCTAATTTATTACAGATGGATTGAACATTCAAAAAAAGTAGGGAAATATTACCATCATTCAACCTAAAAAATCCTTATCACCTAAATTATGTGCTGGATTGATTTCTTCCAATTCCATGGTATTACCAGTCACGCTCTCATTTGAGGAAGTTGAGCCATCTGTTGGTATCAACATCACTATCACAGACACATGGGTTACCCTGCGTTACTATCGATTTGTTGTCATCTTCATGGGCTAGTGGTGTTGAAATTGAGATGGGTTTAGACACCAAGCCACTACATTTCACATATAAGCTCAAAAGCTTACATAAGGAATTCTTGCCAAGCCTATAGTGGTTATTTTTTCTAAAATTTTCTATAATTCTGAGAGAGCAATAGTTGTGAGCTCTAGAAGAACCCAAACAAATCGTCCGCATACAACAATATGTCACTGTGATGGATAAAATCTTCAACATCATTTATATAGCAATTAAATAGCAAGGGAGAAAGATGTCCTCCTGATACGACATTTATTGGAAATGAAATAAAGTTTTTATTCTGACGTATTGTACTCTACTGTCCAAAAAGCTATCTATCCATGCCAAAAAAGTCCCCCGAATGCCCAAGGCCTCTAATTTTTTCAAAGGTATAGATATATTAAGCTTAAAGCCTTACTGAAGTCATTGCTGACGGAATCTACTGGAGTTCCCAATTCTGCAGCATTACTAAGATTATCTTGATATAATAGAGGTTAGAAATAGTTGATTTTCCTTTAATGAATCCATGTTGAGCAGTCAAGAGAACATTTCTAAAACATGGGGAGATTTTTTCAGTCACAATACACTCAAAAACCTTTTGAATAACCGACAATTTACTTATTGGGCGATAGTTTGATATGTCTGCTTTATTGCCAGCTTTAAAAATAGGCGTAAGAAAACCTTTCTTCCATTTTTCAGGAAATAGTATATTGTGTATTTAGGTGGAAAAGTGACACATTCTCTAAATTGATGGGCGAGGCGTAGCCGAGGCCGGCAAACATCGAAGGCCGAAAATGTGATTTTCTACTGAAATACACATACTTTTTTTTCTGCGATCGGTTAAATGTCTGTTAAATGTTTGTCTTTTTGTTCCAATTATTCAGCATTACGAGAATCACTTTCCAGAATATTGAGTTTTGCGACCTGTCAGCTGGTCAAAAATGCTGAAATTTCTTGTCAATCGCAGAAAAAATACCTTTTGACAATGACTTATTAAATATTCTGACAAGAACTTCAGACAAAACACATTTAAGAATTTTTTAGAAAGTAAACTGGAACGCCATCTGGCCCGCAACCCAAACCATCATCCAAATTACCTATACAATTAAATACATCCATCAAACTTATATTACAAAAAAACAAATCTACAGTCTTAGAATACCTACTGGAAATCTATGTATTTCTCCCTATGATTTACATATGCCAACGAGAAATGTTGCGCAAATAAATTAGCAATTTTTTGAGGGCAGTCCGATTTCTACTCACCATAAAACATATTTAGGCAGTTTAGTACTATCCTTTTTGGAATTTACATATCTCCAAAAGTTCCTTTTGGATTGAATTAAGTAGAAAATAAATTCTCTTTAGTATCTATATTCAAATGTCAAAGTACCACTTTATTGAGCGGTAAATTTTTCCTTATCTAACAAACAATGTAACTCCAACTGTTCTCCAGATTCTAATGATGCTATCCCATCCTTATCTTGGACACACTGTATAATGATTTTCGCTTTGCCCATTGAGTTTCACAAGTTGAGACAATAAAGCTTTGTAAAAGAATACATATTAATAATAATTTCCAATTTACTTGAAAACGATTGAAGATCAAAAAAATAAAAACCAAGGTAATGGAAGTTGAAAAAAAGTTTCTGTTCTTCAACAGAAATATTACCTACCACCTTTAAACAATAATTTACGAATCAAAATAACGACATATGTTATTGATGGATTATAATCTAAAACTACATTTGTTCCCTGAATATTTACATAAATAATTAGATTTGCCTCTGCACAATAATCAAAAACATATTTTATTGAAATTCGCAATGTTTCTGCTGAAAAAACTGTTTAAAATAGAGCCTGTTTGAAGTCTACCACACCTTATAAAATCATTACATGAAATAAATATTGTAAATAAACCGCATACATCTAAGGTAAAAACGTGCATTGAGACTCACAATGTATTGTTTAACATGTCAATATTTGTTTAAGTTTATTATATTAATCTTTTAAATAAATATTTGGCTTTTTTGGTTCATGTAGATGGAATTTTAAAGAAAATTTTGTGAGATATCACATTATTTTGACAAAATGTATTTGCATCAATTTCTTTCTATATACAGTCGTGAGCATAAAAAGTGGGACACCCGACTGACAGGTCTTGTTATTTTTCGCTATTTTGGGTAAATCAGTCTTTTCTCTACAATGGATTTTTTGTCAAATATGACAATCCCTGTCATTGCCACAGGAATAGCTGATGAGCTCGTTTTACAATAGGAAAAAACGGGTGTCCCACTTTTTATGCTCACGACTGTATATTATCACAAATTAGTCATGTTCCTTTAATTTTTTTTTTATCAGAATTACTTAATTATCATCCATTTGTTCAAATTGATAATTCCTATGTCGCAATAACAGAAGCTAATCTCCCAAATTAGCCATTATTTGCCGATATTATTGTACAGGCACCCATTTCTTTAATTACATATTTCTTTATAAATTCCAATTCCATAGCGGTGTAATTGTTGCTCAACCATGTACTGTAACTACAAGATTTTTATAAAAATAATTATTTTCTTGAAGGTTGTGCAACTATTGTTCTTGTATTTACTTTTAAATGGTATTTATCTCGGATTTTGAGTTTTATTTTTGGATAAAAGCAAATTGGGGTTAAACCCAAATTTGTCATTGATATTTATTAATCCTTTTTATAAGATTTATGAGTTCCTTTATTTGAATAAAAACAAATTAATTACATTTAAATCAATGGCCAAAGTACCATTGGCAATGTGTCAACATCAGTTAAAAAAGATTGGATGAACATGGACTTATTTATAGGACAAAGTAAAGGTCATTAAAACTGCCAACAAGTTAGGAATTTGCACTAATTTTAACATAAAGTAATGTTCGGATTTTTTCTGTAGGAATCCCAATGTCGATACGTCCTAGAGCCTGGCTTTATCTCTGCGGGGGGCAAATTCTCATGGAAAAACATCTAGGTCACTATGAGGATTGTCTCAGAGCAGATGGAGATGTTAAATGTTTAGATGACATCAGGAAAGATATTCATAGGCAGTTTCCTACACATGAGATGTTTAATTCTGAAGACAAACCAGGGTAATAATAAGCATCTATTGAATTTTATTTTATAATTTCATATTGTAGTCAACATGAATTATTCAACGTCCTTAAAGCATACACAGTCCACAATCCTGATATTGGTTATTGTCAAGCTCAAGCTCCTGTGGCAGCTTTTCTATTAATGCACATGCCCTCTGAACAAGCTTTTTGGTGTCTAGTCTCTATATCCGATAAATATCTGCAAGATTATTATTCACCCGATATGGAAGTTGTACAAAGAGATGGATTTATTCTACAAGGCAAAAATTATATTAAAATCAATGTTCAAATTAAATTAATGTTGTTTATTGCAGGTTTATTGAAGAAGGTGTGTCCTCAAGTCTACAGACACTTGAAAAAAGTCAGTGCAGAACCAATGTTTTATTGTACAGAATGGTTTTTGTGTGCCTTCACTAGAACACTACCCTGGGACACTTTGTTGAGGGTGTGGGATGTGTTTCTATGCGAAGGAGTCAAGGTTTTATTTAAAACTGCTCTTGTGATAATGATTGGATGTCTTGGGACTGCTAAAAGTAGAAAAAATTGTCCAGGTAACAAAAATTTCTTTATTCTAGTAGATCATTTTAAAAATTGAAAATTAAACCTATGACCAATTGACATGATACAGAAAATAGGATAAAAAAATAACCCTTACATGAAATAATTTAAAAAAGAATCTGGTAAGTATGTTTATTGGAGTTATTTGTGAGAAAAACGTCAGTTAATGATTTTGAAAAAGGTTTGAATCTGTGGGAATTATGCTGTTTAAATGAAATGGAAAGAAATACAGACTTCAAGAATACTCCAAAGACTACCCTGATTCTATTCACGTTGAAATATTCATTTTATACATAATTTCGAATAAAATCTGGCAACAGTGTGGTGGTTGATTTGTTTACATAGTTTGCGAGATGCAACACCTAAAATCAGCACTTGAAGGAAATGGGTACTCCAAACAGGTGATAAATAGAGCTATAGAGATAAAACCGAAACAACAGCGCACAAATGATAAGGAACCAGCACAGGTGGCAGGGAGAGCCTTTCTTCCCTACATCAAAAATGTCACAGATCGTATAGGACGAATGCTAGAAAGACACATTTAGCCCATCTACAAGCCCACAAGAAGAATTTAGCAAAGTCTAAGATCGGCCAAGGGCACCTTTTGAAACGGCTGGCGTCTATAGAATTCCCTGCTCTTGTGGATCTGTCTATGTAGGAACAACCAAACGCTCTATCAACACCACGGTCAAAGAGCACAGAGGAACACAACCCTGGATATAAATAGCGCAGGTCCAACAATTTCGAATCCAGTCATCGGAGGAACACGGAAGAGAACACTTCGTCTTCTACCACACTGCCTCTGAAGATGTCTACCGCAGCAGTAGACGATTTAGACGAAACGTTAGGTAGAAATATTACCCGACCCCGGCCGTGAAAGCCTTCATTCTTCAATTCAAAAAGAGTTGTAAAGAATATATATTTAAAAATTACAAGAATTTTCGAAATCAGTATCAGGGATTGATGCGTTGCTGGTTTAAATATTAAATTTTGATTCGAAAGTGGACTGTATTTTAACATGAAATCATGAAAAACATGGAATTTTGAGTCGAACAGCGCTCGGTTGAACTTACCGACATGGACGCTTGTTGCTAACTGAACTCTTCTCGTCTCTTCGTCTTCTTCTTCAACGTGAAGGCAATGATGACACGTCTTCCAAATGTCTATGTTTAGTGCGGAAGATTTAAATGTTTTTGAATTAATTTATTTACAGTTTGTTTTAACTAAATTATGATTTATTTACAACGACTTAACAGGGATAACTATAAGATGTTTCACGTTCTACAGTCTACAGAGTCTTTCAACCTGCCTTAATCTCTAACGGATTAGGGTACTGCTAGCCCAGAATATTATACATGATACCCCTTATTCATTATCATTACTAACTACTTATACCATTAAACGTGGCACATGCAGGCATACTACCTAGGTACTACAATAAGAAATTATTAGATTATAAAAATATCACTGTGAATTGTACTGTATTGTTATGTATACTGAAAATATTGAATAAATTTGTTATCATTATTATTATTTAACTTTTAGGTTTGTGTGAGACTCTAGCGAGACTACGAAACCCGCCGGAAGAAATCCTCAACGAAGATAATCTTATTTATAACATAAGCAGGCTCGATTTGTCAGAAAGAGACTTCCAAATTGAACATCAAAGACAAACGAGGAAAATTAAACTGGACAAATTGGCCAAAGCTAATGGGGATGAGAGCAGATAGAAATTAAAGTGAATGATGAGTGTTTTCGAAAATCATTCTGTATATTGAATCGTCACTGTTTTCCTTATGCGTTGGGACACTATGTAAGGATCTTTTTGCCTCTTTTGGCTCAAATTATTGTTGTTAACCAAGAAAAAATCAGTATTTGAAAGGTATTTTGTACAGTCACAGAATTTTAATGTAAAAAGATATAAACATTTTTCTATCAATTATATTGTTGGATCGATTTAAAAATTACATACTAATCTAAGCAGCTCGTTGGTAAGACTTATTTTTTGTGCATTTATAATTTAGATTAAATTTTAATCGTATTTATTGGTTTTGTGCGCTACTTTTGTGAAGTGATCAACTCTACAAAATCTCCATAGCGTTTTGTTGCAATGTTTATTTATAAAAATAATATATATCATTAAATAAGGGTTTTTTTTGTGCACATCTCTAGTCTAAAGTGCAAATATTTTTTGTTTTACACTTAATTTTTATGTATCTTTTTCATGGGGATCTAATCCTTGTTTGCTTACATTTGGTTGGTGTGCTTCCAAAATAAAAATTTGAGTTAGGAAATTCAATTTAATAGGTATAACAAGCATTTAATTTTTTATACAAGTTTACATCACATATTTTCCAGACTTGAGTTTTTGAAACGTTTTTTTTGTATCTCCGAATATTTTAAATAAGTTTTGAAATAATATGAAAATGTTAATTAATTTGGAATAATAAAGAAATATTTGACCTTTATTTTTTTGTCTCAAAGAACAGTTTTTCCAATACCAAAGATCAACCGAGATCATCCAGCTTTTTCAGGTCTGTTTAGTTAAGTTGACGATGCCGGAGAGGATTCTTATGTTGTGTATTGCTGAACATACTTACAAGTGTGTATAAGCCTTCTAGCAGGAAGATGTTTGCAAGCAAACATCGACACTCTTGGACATAACAAACCGGACAAACAAAATTTTGTTAAATTTCAATCCTAAATATTTTTTTCAATTTTGCATTGAAATTGATCATTTTTTTGTCAAATGGTAGGCGCGTTTATTTTGATCATTATTTAATATTGTGTTTACAAAAAGTCCGAATGGATTTGGTGTTATACAGGGTGGAACTATAAGTTGTATTTGGTCGGAATTACACCTCACGCTCGTACTGCCCCGGTTTTCATCGAAAATGGCGCTTATTTAACTACTAACCGTTATATTGAGGAATGTTTAGCGGTCCACGTTATTCCTTTTGCTCCATTTGTTGGTGTTTCTTTGATGCACGACAATGCCAGGCCTCATGTCTCAAGAGTTGCCAGTGATTATTTTGATGAAGCAGAGATTCAACGATTGGATTGGCTTTCACGTAGCCCTGATCTGGGATCGTGAGTACCGATTGAGCATGTGTGGAACATGTTAGGGAGGCTAATTCGCAGTCGACAACCGAAAACCATTCAAGATCTTCGAAAAGCTCGTCTCGAAGAATGGGAAAACATTCCGCAAAGGGCTATTGTCAATGAGCCAATTTCACGTGCCGGGAATATGGCAAATTATGATATTTTTTTGACGCAGATACATCAATGCAACTGAAAATTAACAATATTTTGCAAAATTTTAGTCAGAAATAATTTTTTTTTCAAAAATAAGCGTTTTTTTTCGGAAAAAAAGTATACAGATAGTATTAGAATGACTAAAAGAATAATTTGAACATGTTTTTGAAAAATGTGAAAGTGGCCCATGATGGCAGTAGTTATTAGAGCATGTGGAGGTAATACCCGTGTTTTTTTATTTGTTAAAGTTATCTGTAATTTTTTTAATTTTTGGTATTGTCACAACCCCTATACGTTGCACTGGACCTAGTCTGCTTAGTTCAATACTCCCAGAGGGGCGTTTCCCATTAAAGGTAGTTTGCACTGCGAGGAGACTTAACTAGAGGGGCTTTGCCCATTTGAGGTACTTTGTACTAGCCTTAGTCTGCCGGTAATGGATTTTGGTGCGATATTTATACCAAATTAATGATGACTCGTCGACAAACTTTAGTGAAATTGATGTACAGAGAAGATCTGGAAGGAGGAGAGTTTGATAAATCTTGTCAAAATATATTTAATACTAAGCTTTGCTAAACTCTATTCTAATGTACCATCGTCACCAAAAGTATCTGGGACACAAATAATGCATAATAATCTCCTGAACTAATTCTACTGTCATTCATTTCAATGCATTTGATTCATAGTTTGACAAATATTTGACAATAAAATTCACGTAATAGGACAAGAGCTAATGTGATGCTGTCCCAGTTACTTTTGGTAACGATGGTACATGTGGCCACTTTCTTCTACTGCTAATTTTCTTCCTCTTCTCTCACTTCTCTTCGTCTTCTTCTCCTTTCTCTTGTTCTTCTTCGTCTTTTTCATCTCTTACTTCTTTGTCTTCTTCATCTTCACTATACTCTTCGATAGGTGCACCTTCTGTCCACGGGTCATTGTCAGTGGCGACGCCAGGGTTCTATGTTAGGGGGTAGGGTTTCCATGAAGGTTCTTCGAAATTCAGGACAAAGGAGATAAGAAATCCGGACTTCGTCGAAAAATTATTTAAAATTTTTATAAAGGATGAAATTATGTCTTTTTTGCCTTTATGAGCAACACTCAAATAAAATTTGTATTGCATAAGATACATGACATCAGAATTGGCTTTTCCTTTTTTATTGGAAGGGAACGCTTTTCTTCCGTTACTACTCAATTTTATCATTATTAGTTAATATTATAACGTTGCGTTGCGTCGCAGGGCCTACACAAATCATAGTTTAAACGGACCTGGGAATTCTGGGATTCACTGATATTTAGGGGGAGCAGGGTCAGATCGGCCCTGGATTTCTCAAGCCTACCGGCCCTGTGAACCGTAGAAAGCAAGAAAATTGTATGCCTAAAGGAAGCGCGTCGAAAAACTGCGGATTTTTCGGGTGCCACGCCCAAAAACGTTTATTTTAAACTTTCAAAGCTCACGCTAGCAAACAAGCAATGACGCGACAGGACTGTCACAACGACAATTTATTTAAAGAAAGTACAGCAAACCTAGTCGGAGTCAAAACTTTTTTTGAGAGCCACGCTCAAAAATACCTTTTATCTTAAAGCGGTCCATAATATGAACTTTATTCTCATCAACACTCGACACAGAAGTAATCCATTATGTTCCTAGGACTAAATTTAGGACTATGTTTCTGAAATGAGAACGGATGTTCCGGTTAAATCTGTTTCGGATTTTTGACAGTTCAAGTATTCAAGAACTATCCAATGTTGATCTAATCGTATACTCTGTGGTCGGGAGTAATTGAACCGATTTTCGAACTATTAATTTTTGCTCTGACATTCAGGTTAGATTTATTCACAAATTCCTCTGTACACCTACAGTGGCTAAATAATCCTTTACATACAGTGGCGACAATAGAGGTCCCTCCGCCATTTTGTTCCCAACCTCTTGTTACTTTCAAATATTAATATATAGAATTTGAATGGACATCTATCATAAAAAATTGACGTATTTGATGATTATTATTAGGTCCATCAAATACGTTGTTTTCTATGTTTTATGATGGATGTTCACCCAAATCCCATTATATCCATATTTGAAATATAAGCAATAGGTGGGAACAAGAACAAGATGGCCGCGTTTTGAATATAAATACCTATATGGGATTTTAGAACCAATCAAAAATAAGACAGCAATTGTCGCCACTGTAGGTAATAGAGTCACATGGACACCAAGGACGTGACGCCATCTATGAGCAGTCAGTTATAGGAGTGACATTTGATCATTTTGACATTTAGTAAATCAACAATTAAAAATAAAACAATGTCGTGTTTGGAGTGTTTGGACTTTTAATAAAAAGAAACAACTAGAATACTTTAAGTGTTTTCTAGAAGCTCCTTTTTTACCTCTCTCTCATCTGTCATTACGTCACTCACTTGGTAGCGACATCTATCCTAATGATCAGTGATGTGCCTGTAGACAATGTCAACGTAAACAATTGATTGTCTACGTGTAGACAATTCGGATTGTTTACGTGGGCATTTGTCTACACATTGTCTACATGTGACGTAAACAATAAACTTATTTTAGAAAATTTAAAAAAAAAATCCAAAATTACTACTACCTAAGTAGCTTATACCTATCACTTTTATATCAGCATTCACTGATTATAAATATGAGGAAAACCCATAATAAAATAAAAATAATTTTTGAAAAGGAAAGTGTGAGGTTAGAATTAAACGTCATTTATATTATTTTACATTGTTGACACGTTGTCTACATTGTCTACACGTAAAGTAGACAATGAAAGTCTACGTGTAGACGCACATCCCTGCTAATGATCTCAAACTAATATAATAAAGGCAAGTTTACACTATTCTAAGAACCTGAGGTAGAGTTCACAATACTCAAACATATGCTACAAACAAAGTCCCAAATTATAGTTGTGAAAGGTATAGACTAATTCACGATAGAATTTGAATTTTGACCGTTATTTCCACCAGTTGAAAATAAATAAAACCCCCAGATCTGTCCCTTTTTCTGTCAACCATCAAATAATGATACATGACATTTCGATTTGACATGTAAAAATATCAGATTCGGATCTTTGAATTTTGAATTTCGAATTTTTCTGTGAAATCCTTCCAGTTTTTTGCCGTTTTCTGCATTATTTTTTTGATATTTTGTCATATTCGCAATCGGTTTTTTGGTTTTTTATGTAGTGTTCTGTGCCTTTTTGTTTCGGTGTTGCGTTTCAAACCTGGTTTTAGTTTGGATTTAACTGTTTACTCTGTCAATAACTGTTTACTGTGGACTCTTTTAACACTTTTATCTGGTCTATTTTAACGTCTGCGATGACAGAAAAGTCTATGCAGGATTTTAATAACTTAACTTCCTTAAAAGAAATTAAAAATACATTTTTATTCTGAAATGTATATCACTTTTCTAAATACGACCCTGTCGTTTATCCCACCTGACGGAATCGAAGTCAACGCGAACTGTCAACTTCACTTTCTATCGCGATTACAACTATAATAGGTCTGTTTCCACAGAAATCACAAACCAGTCACAGCGTTTTTGATTGGTCCAAACTGCCAACCAGCAATTTCCTGACTATTTTCAGTCAATGAAAATCGCTTCGACTAGTTTGTGACCTAATATGTAGTCGCTTGAAGATAAAATGATGCGTGCCATTCGACCCAGAAGGTCTTTCTGTCCTCTGCTCGATTGTACGTCGGCCTTCAAACGTTGAGCTCAGCACAAAAAGACCCATTTCTTGGGCTATAATGACATAACCCATATAGACAATAATATTTTTTGAATATTTTTTTTTGGTCCAGCCCCAAATATTTTTTGAACCTAATGAAAATAGATTTTGGAGAGATCCAAAAAAGATTTGACAGAAGATATTACTTTGAAAATGTTTATAAAATATTTTTAAAACCTACTCAGAAAAACGTTGTTGTTCGGAAAACACAAGTAATAAAATATTTTCCAATGTGCCTTTTTTTGCACACCAAAATAGCATCTACAAAAAATATTTTTTAATAGATCTTTTTTGAATATTGTAAAAATAAAGTATAAAAAACATTTCTCTCATGATTTCGAAAATATTTTAAAAATGTTTTTAGTCTACGTTTTATTTTTAACAATATTTGGATTTTTTAAGCCAACAACAGCAAATAATCCAGCCTTTCTATTGGTTTAAACGCCCTACCACGACCAGTGCGCATGCACGGGGAA